TTAATAATTTACCAGTGATGCATTGATTACGTTCGTTAAAATCTATGCCATCACTACACACACGGGCATAACGAACGAGTTGGGATATATAAACACCGTATGATGGAGCCAAAGGAACATCGCCGTCTAAAAAAGGAAAATTAACAATAGGGAATGAAAAGTCGTCTCTTTTGTCGTAAATTTTAGTATGGAGTTTTCCTTAAGAGATTGAAATATCCAAATCTAGAAAAGGACAACTACTGCTGTTTATGTGAGATGTAGTTAAAGTAAGTTCTTTTTGGGTAAATTTCGGTAGTATATTTAGAGAATTCTGGATTATATAACGAAAAAATATCATCTAGATAACGGAAGGTATTGTTGAATGTATCAACCAAATGTAACAATGACGTGTCTTTACTGAGTTTGGTCATAAACTGAGATTCATAGCAATACAGGAATAAATCTGCTATTAAAGGGGCGCAGTTAGTGCCCATAGGAATGCCTACTACTTGTCGATACACTTTATCGCCGAAACGTACATATATGTTGTCCAGGAGAAAATTTAAAGCTTCAATCATATCTTCACATTTCCAGTAAGTGTATCTAGCATACTTTCCTTTTTCGTTACAGAAAAAGGCTTTAAACGAGTTACAGCAAATAAATTTGTAATGAGATTTTTCAAAAGACCATTTAATTAAATATGAAAACTTTTTCTTGATAAGATTGTGTGGAAGTGTAGTATAGAGAGTAGAAAAATCATAATTGTCAACAGAATTAAAAGGACCATCAAAAGCATGTATTTTATCTAAAACCTCTAAAGAATTTTGAACACTCCAAAAATAATTAACACCATTATTTTCATAAGCTTTATTACAAAAGTTAATAACAAGTTCTTTGATAGTAGTAAGGGAGGAAGTTAGAAGCACTGATAGATTGGTAGTAGAACACTTACTAGATGCGGAGATGAAACGGTTTTTAAATGGTTTTTTGTGCAATTTAGGTAACCAAGTACATAGTAGGGACTTTCAAATGTTCGGAAGAGGCTTTTTTTAAAGCTGGGTAGTGGCAGTGATATGCTTGTTTACAATTTGACTCTCTGTGGAGCGTACGGACCTGAATGTAGATGAATTTGTAATTTCGTTTTGGAGAACTTCCGTGTAGTATATGCGTCACACCACCACTACATTGTTTGCTGCTTTGTCTGCCGGTACGAACACAAACCGCTTTGCCAGTACTAGGAGTTTATTTTTTATTCAAGAAATGGGAATATCATGGACCCTATTACTAACTTCAGAATTGTTTTCAAATTGACATATATAAATAGTAACAGTATTCATACTTTTATTCAAATAACTGTCTAGAGATTTTTTATCAGATTTTTCACGTTTACACCAATTTTTACAGTAGACCGTAAGCATGATTAGATTGACCGACACCTTTTTGATTATCTGACTATAAAGACCCAATTTAAGAATTCCCTTGAGGCAGTGAAGATGAAGATACTCATATCTTTGCATCACAATCAAACACGGCCTTGTAAGGCGAAAACCATGCTATATATAGAGGGGAATCCGTTTGTTTGTGCAGGATGTATAAATTCGATAGTCGAAATTTCTGTCCTTTATCCGGGTCAATCCATTGCAAAACTTAACTTTTTGATTTATTATCAATTTGTTCTCGTCTTAAATATGCATGAAATATTTGCTACTGAATGCAAACAAACAACAGTCAGTCAATACAAAAACAGGCTTCTTTTTCTCGGCTTTATATTCCATGTGCACACTTTTGGTTTAAATCTAGATTTTTAAAAATATTGTTAGTAAACTTTTTTCTATTGTAAGAAAAATGTGTCCTTCTGCCACCATGACCAAAAGATTATAAAATTACTATCTGAAATACAAAGTGAGTACATACTTCGCGTAGATTCACTAAAAAGGAAACAAACTTTCCCAGCTGTCTTTTGACGATAAACTCAACTTGACCGAACCATTAGTTATTTTCCTTGCAAGATATTGTGTTTTTAGTCAAATCAATCTCAATGATAGTAATCCTTCCTGAACAAATTACCTGAAATTGAACAGGCAATTTGTTGAATTTTGTTTCAAAATTTCAGTCATTTAATAAAATGACTAGGTAATTTAAATCATTTTATATAATGCCTGTAAAGGTGATGCATTTTATAAAATGCCTAAATTTAGAAAATGCCTGTAACATATATTATATATCATATATCCAAAGCCTTAAAATTGTTGGTTTTTTTTTCTTTTGTTTCAGGAGGGTTACAAAAACATAACAAAAACAAGAATAATATGTCTTAAACATTTATTCCGTTGTAATTTATTAATTGGATTATACAGTCTGACTATATTACCCTTCCGGATAATATACTATTCTATCGTACGTGTCATGTGATACAAATGTTTGAAGGTAATGAGTTGCTGTCAGATAAATTGTAATTTTCTATAAGAGAAATTAAGCAGTTTATCAAAAATATAGCAGATCTTTGATAGCATGTTTCTAGAATCGGGACGATTTTGTGTTTGACATAGTGTAAGGACATTTAATCTATTAGACTGTATGTTAACCTCTATGTGCCCACTAATTTTGTTGATCTCCTATAATATTGGTGTATACCCCCCAAGCTACTTTTTCATACTATAATCAAACTGTATAATGCATTAAATCCTTTTAAAATGCTTAAATTAGTTCGTCAGTACTTATTTCCACTTTTTCAGACAAATTTGACAAAAGACATTTTTTACTGTTCCGTTATTAATAAACTTATCAAGAATACATGTACCCGACTTAATAAGGTTCTTTTTGGTTTTGGCGTTCTTCAATATTTATATCATTTGACATCCCGAATCATTGATTTCCAGTGTATCTGATGAAAGAAACAACTTATCAGGAATGGGGTGATGCTAACTTGTAATTGTAATGCCCTGTAATGCATTATTTTTGTTTGATTCTTTTTTTTCAACTTTGCCACATAAGGGGAGATAACTCAGATAAAGAAATTTTATAATAGAAATGTAGCAAGAAAACAAGTCCGGTGACTCCATTTTTCTTGTTCTTATCTGAAAGCATGTTATAAGAGCTATCTTCTCACATTTTATCTTAAAATTCTATGGTGTAGTTTTCTTTTTATCACACAAAATTGGATTTTCCATGCATAATCTATACAAAATCTGACAATTTTGCACAACCTGTAGCGTGAAAAAAAGTCCGGTGACCCATACTTTTTAATATATTTTGGAAAAAAGCATGATAAAAACTACATTTTGACAAATTATTAAAAATTCTATGGATTTTAATTAAGACCCCCCCCCCCCATCCATCTTAACCCAAAATTTCAAATTCCAAGCCCGAAACATCTCTCGTCTAAATTGATACATACTAAGGCCAAGGATGTACGTCAAAATCTGTATGATAACCTCCAGGAAGCTGATAACATTTGTTTGACTGTTGACATTTGTTCTAATAGGGCAATGAAAGGGTTTTTAAAATACCTATTTAATAGTTGTAAAGATTTCAGTATAAAATGTTGTATATGTTTCTTTTGATGATAAAATTTATAAAATGTCATGTGTAATATAATGCATTACTTTAGTAAAGTAATTGTAATGTAATGCATTACTTTGGTAAAGTAGTAAAGTAATTGTAACGTAATGCATTACTTTCCAAAATACATGTAATTGTAATTGTAATATAATGCTGGTTTTGTCCAAGTAATTGTAATGTAATGCATTACATTGCAATGTAATTCGCCCCATGCCTCATGTTTATATTAAAAGGGAATTGAAAGACAAATAATGATAAAAAAAATTAAAGATCTAGAATTAAAAAAATAGAGTTATGAGATATGACAATTCATTATATAGGTATGTTTAAACACATATATTGTTCTGTGGGAGTTTTTTTATGTCAAAAGTCATTATTTAGTAGAAAAAAAATGTATTCCCTTTCTGAAAGTTGTAAATGTACCTCTCTTTTGTATGATGACTGTGAAATCTGTCAGACACATGGCTGCTGTATATGACATCTTTTGAGTGCTGATATGGCCCATATTAACTTTTCTGGCATATAAACTTCCTTCTTTACACTTGCTATAAATGTAAATTTTGGACAGGGTTTAACGTACTTTCTATTCTATACATTCAACTATGCAGAACGAATATTAACATAGTATATAATAATATATTGATTAATATATTCAAATGATATAAAATGGAAGATATGGAGTATAAATAAATTGAAAATTTATATTTGTGATCTGCATGAAATATTTATTTATACCAAGTAATAAATAAAATAGTCAAGCCTAAAATGTAAATTCAAATAGTAGCAGTATATTATATACACTTTTCTATTCACAGCTATCCAACATTGCTTCAATTGACTTGTGCAAGAATCTTCACATAATTACATATTTTCAGTAAAGATATTTTAACATCATATTTATCTTATTTTCTTAACAGTCAATTATTTCAAATCAAAAGCAAACAAAAATTCAGCAACATTTTTTTGGTGACCGGTCAGCGGTCTCGGGTTCACGTATTGCTTTTCTTTTTTTCAAAGAAAGCAACTTGTGTCTTAATCTTAGGTAGTGACACGTTATGCTTTGTCGTAGGGAAAAAGATTTGTTCAACTTCGCCATTTAACAACAGTTCAAAAAGTAATTTTAACCAGATTGATAGCTAGTTATATGATATCAAAATGCACAGAGTTGTTCCCGTCTTCAACACTATATATATATATAGAATATAATACTGAACAATATTCTGCCCCATTGCCACTTATAAGAACAAACTGGGTCACGATAAATACAAATGACCCATCTCTGGAAGCTTGTTTATCCAGTTAATGTCCAGAAGTATTATATTAAATTTTGTCCTCTATATGATACCATCCTAAACATATTGACGAATACATTTGTCATTAAACAACATTTTATTGTAGTTAGTTTCCTTTTCTTTCCGTCGTAGTTCCGGTGTGGAATAACTCATCGTGTATTTATGTCTCGAAGTATGTACTAACCTGCTTTTATCAGGTCCAGAAATTGTCATAATTTATACAGTGTATGAGATAAGGTCAGAAGTAAGTTGGTAAATATCTATCATAAGATTATAGCAAATAATATTCATAATTTAAAATACGAGTTTAATTGTTAAACTTTTAGTGTAAAACCTTGGATACAGAATTAATCATACATTTAATGTGTTTGTTTCTTTTGGTTTTATCACACCATGACCTTATATATGTATGTAGTACGAGACGACAATGTTAATAACATCCATGATCCAGATGTATATTTTCTGTATTTTTTTCATATGTAACTGTCTCTTTGATTTTTACCTTCAAACTCTCTTTAGTCGTATTTGTGAATTACATATACATCAAGGATGATTGAATTATTTCAGGCTAGGGGAAGACAAAGATGGAGAAAGAGTGTCTGATTCTTCTTTCGTTTTTACTGTCGGTTTATTCTTGGAATCCTGATGCTGGGTATGTTCCATCTTGGACTAAAATGCCAGGGGTATCTGTAAAAGCTACATCTGGCTCTGATCATGCTAAGAATACAATAGACAACGATGATAACACGCATTGGACTTCTGAATCCTGTCTTCCATCCGGGTATGTGTCACGTGATGACGAAAATATCATACTAAATGCCTGTAGCCATGGCCATTGTAGTGTTGAATGCGGGTCTGTAAATGACCTGGTAAAGATGACGGACGGAAACTTCTATACACTATCACATGTAAATGTAAACACTAACGCAACAGGTCAACAAAAAGCCAAAATGATGGTCCAGTTCCCAACTCCAATGCATCTGCACTTATTATCGGTATGGGGTATATATAAAACTGAAACAGAGCTACGTGTTATTTACTGGAATGCAACAACGGAAGTGTTGAAATCTTTGCAGCATTCTGATAATTATAAACAAATAACAATCACAAAGGTTCTCAACAATGTAAAAGAAATATCATTGCAATCAAACAGCAACTTTCAGATAAAAGAAATCGCCTCAATTGGCTCAAAGGGCTGCCGGGAACGTATAACCGTGGATTTGGGAACGCTAAGAGAAGTGGGAATGGTTCGGACAAGGCATTGGGCCGGTTCTAATTCCGCAACTGGGCTGACTATGCTATTTTCGGCTGACAACACTGCGTTTACTCATTCCGTATCGTTAATTCCAAATGCACTGCATGCCGTCAACACAGACTTAAGTCCACCAAGGACTGTTCGATACATCCAATTAGAGTATCAACTGTCACAAAAGAACTATGACAAAGTTTATTGTTGGGAGATTGACGCATGGGATCATTTAACGTTATGGGGCAAATCAGTGACTGCTAATACACAGAAAAACACAATAAGGTATATACTTGGAGTCAATGGTATATGGGGGTGGCAACACAGTAAATACAGCAGTTTGCTGAAAAGCAACGAAGGTCCAAATTTATACAATTCCGTTGCTTCACATGCAAGAAATTATCAGAACTTAGACTGGGATGTAACGAGTCCAAGTAAAGACCCTCAGTATGACCAAATGGCAAATAACCATGGTACCCAGGCTAAAAGCTGGCTTAACTGGGATACTGAATATTCCGCATGGCGAAAAGCAAACCTTATGATCGATGTGTCGTTTCAGTTTACGAATAAGTCTTTTCCTCAGAAAGTTTGGCAAAGCCCCGAAATAGAAGCGTTTAATTTAGGAAAACATTTTGCTAGACATTTTGGTTCAGATCATGGAAATAGCCTTGTTGACGCAGTTGAAATCGGTAACGAACCTTGGGATTATGAGGCAAGTTTTTACAATAAAATTTTAAAAGGTATGAGTGCAGGTCTGAAAGGAATGGATTCGAAAATCAAAATTCTTCCTGGCGCTTTCCAAGCTCACGATAGGCATGATACAGGAAACTACATTGGCACTCGCGTTACTCAGAATATTGCTGTGAACATAAGTGTGATTAATTTTCACACCTACAGCTTTAGAACAAACAGTAACGGAGTTCGCATAGGAACTTATCCAGAACACCAAGATTCTTCATTTAACAGCATAAGAAACATAGTTCGATGGAGAAATAGTAATATGCCATCAAAGCCGATATGGGTGACTGAATGGGGCTGGGATGCCGATGGGAAAGGTGAAAGCTGCACATTTCCTGAGTGTGTATCAGAAGCAGCGCAAGCATTGTATGGTATTAGGGGACTTCTAATTCTCGCGAGATCTAATGTTCAAAAAGTCACATGGTTTTTCTATGCAAATTCACAGTATTGTCATACACTGTTCTGTCGAAGTGGTTTAACTGCATCCACAACGCATAACTTTGCGAAGAAAAATGTATTTTATGCTTTTGAAGGAATACTTAATCTTATTGGTGATAAGTACTTCTTAGGAATTTACCAGGAAAATAACAACGGTTATGTTTATTTATTCGGGTCATCTCACGCTGACATATCTGGACACTCTATGTCACGACAACAACTCCTTCGGCATGCCTCGCATATTGTTGCATGGAAACCTGTGGATATTTTGGAAGTGTCTACCTCGACTATTCATTTGCAGCTAAGTGCTCGAATCAATCAAGTTTCGTTACACAAATTTACAGGTCAGTTTCCGGCAATTAATAATATGATGGTAGCTGTCAACGGAACCGTCTTTGATATAGAATTGTCTGCACATCCGGTAGTTGTCGATATTCGCCAATCAAATGTTGGCACTGGACAGATTATTGGTTAGCAAGTGATTAATTATTAATCATATTATTCCAGTTATTTCGAAACATTAAAACTGATTTTGCACCTACTTGTTGCTAAAGCAAAAATCATTTTTAAATTGTCTGATTTTAAGAGAAAAATATAGTTGACAAAACACTGTTTGGCACAACGCGAAGAAAATCTAATAAATAATGTAACCAAACAACGCCAAATAAATCTAAAACAATATATTTGCTTTTCCGTTCCTGCATAATTTATTCTCTTTATAGATGCTTACTTATATACTCTCATTTCCATACTCAATAAAACAGATGTGGGGTTTATGTCAATGAAGCAGCAATCCAGCTACACAATAAAAACAAATGGAAACATGGTTTGTGTTAATGTTTTAATTTGGAAGTAAATATTTGTGGACGATTCGTTCATTTTTTCATTGAAGATTCACTGAACTTTGCTTAAATATAAGCTTCTTTTTAGGAAAAGCTCCAGGTAAGAGATTCAAATGAATATTCCGATTGGTTTTTAACTCTTTGCTGAAAGGTTGTAACCATAGTGGTTCACAATATATTGGGGTAAGAAGATTCTGTAGAGAGTTATCACGTTGTATGAACACATAAACTAGCGAAAGAAAACAAATAAACACTATGCCTCTCTCTCTTTTGAATATAGGTTATTTGACTTCAAGCTGAAAATCTTAGTTAGTGAGTGCAATAATTTATTACAGAAAGTAGTGTTATTTACCGAATACAAATGCATTAATCACTAGCTAGTATATATTGCATTGACTTCGGCATTCTTGCGAGACACTTTATAATAGCTACTAAGTATGCCACATAAGCGCCGAGTTTGATTTCAAAAGATCAACCCTAGGCCTGTAATGCAATATTATTTCTCCACAAATTTACAATAAGGGACACTTTCAGTTGATACTGGTGAGGATGAGTAAGACAAGATTTTATGACATTTAACCTCCCACACGTACAGTCTTCAATTTTATGCACAGTAGAAAACTTCGGAAAAAATCAACGCTGCACATATAAAGTATCTAAGTTACACATTATAATTATATATTGAATTTTATACGACCGACATATTCAAGTTGTTTCAAAGTCACTTTAGTATATTGGTCGTTGTCTCACTAACAGACTACCACGACACAAATCGTAAAATCGGAGAAGTAGAGGTTGAAATGAGCCTGAATCGTTCAAAGATAATATCCAAAAACGCTTAAAGTTCAGAAAAATCATAGTTCAATGGCAATAGCTCCAATCAACAATCAATTGATAGTCTCCATCATGTCTTATTTGTATTTTTGTCCTGATAACCAATGTTGCTGCTCTGTTCATCTTCAGGGTAGTAGGCTAATCGATACAATTGCTGAAAATCATCATTTAATGTCATTAACTCCTACAAGGGGACACACGATTGTTTCAGTCATATAAAGGTCAAGTATTGCTGATAATTTTTGCTGCATAAAGTTTCTGTCTATCTTTTATAATTTTCAAGATAAAAGGTAAAAAATGAAAAATGAAAAATTGGTCAAACACATCATTAAACCTATTATAGTGAGTTACATGGTATTAGTTTTGTTCATTGTTGAAGGCCATACGGTTTCCTGTAGTTGTTTATATCTTCGAACTTTGGTCTCTCATGTGTAAATGTCTGATTGGCAATCATACCATATATTCATACACAAAAACGTTAAAAATTGGTTAAGAATCGTTATTTCAGAACAATAATTTCTACAAGGGTTAGATTAAAGTTTATTACATATTTTATGTACTTCTATTTATTTTGAAATTTTGTAGGTCTTGAATTACTGACTATTTTTGCTGTAAACAAATTCTGTCTATTACAGTATTTCAATGCAGATTAAGCATGCAGGATTATAGCTCAGCAAACATACTAAAACTGGTAAAAAATCTTTATTTCAGGACATTTTGTTATGTCAGGGCTTTTTATAGCGTGTGTTTTTGGTAATTGTTGAAGGCTCTACGGCAAACTATAGTTACTTTACATCTACGTCATTTGGTCTCTGGTTGATAGTCTCATGGGCAAGCATACCACATCTCCCGATTTCATATTTATAAATGAAAAATTGTCATTACAACAACTTGACGAAAAAGGAAAATTACCAATGCCGAAAACCATACTTTTACCTATCCCAACAATTGTGTAAAGTTTCAAGTAAATCTGCTTAAGCATCTAAAGGAAGTGTACAACATGTGAAAAAAGTTATTAAAGTCTGACAGTTAAAATTTCATAACAAGACAAATAAAAAAAAAATAAAAATCGAAAAACCAGCTTTCTTTAATCAATCCCAACACAGTGTACAGTTTTAAGTAACGAAGCCGACCTATACGGTAAGGTTTTTTTTTCATTGTTGAAGGCCGTACGGTTGCCTTTTATTGCTTACATTTACTGCATTTGAACTCTGGTGGATAGTCGTATCCTTTTGGCAATCATACCACATCTCCTTATTTTTCATAATCATTAGAAAGGTCTTCTCTTGACAATTAAGACGATCTAAAAAAAAAAAACTTGCAATATAAGTGGAGCATTATGCGTAGTTCCCAGGTGATCATGACAACCCTCTTCCCCAAAGGACAAAACCAATGGTGCACGACAATTGTCTTATCATAGCATATAAGAAAAGAAGTGGTCAAGGGGAAGGGATCTGAATTGTTTTAGATACCAATTGATTGTTAAATGGGATGGAGAGGGTCTTGTTATAGCATAAAGGAATATATATGGAATTGGGTAGGCTTAAAAATGTCCCATACAGATTTAAATTGTTAAGGCCAAGGTTTAATGAACAGAACCAGAAGAACAAGAATACTACTAAAACAATATAGGGTACTAGATTTAAGTAACTTTGCTGTTCATAAACGCAATGTTGCATAAAATTTAAAAACTAAATTAAATTTTAAAAAACCAAGTCACATCTGTAATTTTAACATATCTAATATTTGTTCATAAGTGACATCATCATAAAGACTGATAGCTAGAAAAATACAATTGACGAATCCCATTGTTACAGCTTTTGCATCTAACCATATAAAATATTCATGCCATACTGTTAAATGATGTTTTCAAAATATAAGCTGGTAGCTCATTCAATATTACTTTTCACCAGAAACGAACTCAAGCCGGTGCTAGGGGCTGTCTTAAACTTGCAGTGAGGTGAATTTTTTTTTGCTCCGTGTTTAAGGCATCACTGTCACTTTGAGATGAAGAACAGCAATAAAAGCGCTATTCCTTTGCTTTTTGTGTGTTTTTTTTTTTTTTGCTTTGCATGTACTGATTTTGTGTCATGGATGGATTCCCCATATCCTTTGTTTTTCTATCATACCATACACAGGATATAGTTCGACTATTGCTTATACATGTAGTAACTGAGACACAGACCTAATTACAAAAATGCGCTCCGCCTGGAGCAGCTGGATACGACCGCAGAGGTAAAACAGTTGGGGCAAGTATGGACACAATATATATATTCAAGCTTGATACAGCTCTGAATTTGGATAGTGATTAAATATTTGACACATTATAGATTTCTGACACATAATAAATATGGTCAGATAACTTAAATATTTGAAATGGGACATTTAATCTACTTACTGGTCCAATATCCATAATCTAATTTCATGGTTAGATTCAGCATATACAAAAATAAAATGCTTCGCTGAGCGCAGCCTGATACGACCGCAAAGGTCGAACCCTGAACAGTTGGGGCAATATTGGACACAATATTCAAGCTTGATACTGTCTGAATTTGGATTGTGATCAAATTTTTTTTACAAATGGGACATTTAATTACCAAGAATGGTCTGATATCAAAAATCTAACAACATGGTTAGATTCAGCATATAAAAAAACACCAAAAATTTAGTTGAAATCAAACCTTAATATGAACTAATTTGAAAACAGGGCCCAAAAAAAAAATCTAAATGCACAATAAGATTAAGCATGTCATACAGCCGCAATAATTCAGTTTTTGATGAAATCAAACAAAGTTTAATTTTGGACCCTTTTGACCTAAATGTAGAGCAATTTAAAAATGGGGCCCAATATTCAAAATAGTAATACAAGGTTAAAACCCCTAAAAATTAAAGACTGTAAATTAATCCCATTGAAATTGGTCAAAAGATTTGTATTTATTTTCAATGGAAGATTTCTTGCTATTGCGCAATACTGTGCAATTGAAGATTAACTTGCTATTGCGCAATACTATGCAATTGAAGATTTCTTGCTATTGCGCAATATCACAGCACAATACTGTGCTATTGCAAAATACTGTGCTATTGTGCAATACTGTGCTATTGTGCAATACTGTGCTATTGTGCAATACTGTGCTATTATGCAATACTGTGCTATTGCCCAACACTGTGCAATTGAAGATTTCTTGCTATAGTGCAATACTGTGCTATTGAAGGTTTCTTGATATTGCACAATATTGTGCTATTGTGCAATACTGTGCAATTGAAGATTTCTTGCTATTGTGCAATACTGTGATGTTGCGCAATACTGTGCTATTGCACAATACTGTGCAATTGAAGATTTCTTGCTATTGTGCAATACTGTGATGTTTCGCAATATTGTGCTATTGCACAATACTGTGCAATTAAAGATTTCTTCTTGAAGCTTTTCAAAAAATTTGAAATTTCAAAAATTGGTATGGAACCTTGTAGTACAATTTTAGAGAGATCCATACACTTAAACATAAGTTAGTGTCTGGAAACTAGAAAATGCTTGTTTTTGGCCCCTAATTCCTAAACTGTATGTACTATTACCCCCAAAATTAATCCCAATCTTCCTTTTGTGGTATTGAACCTTCTGGTAAAATTTCATAGAGATCCATTCACTTAAACTAAAGTTATTGTCCGGAAACCAAATGTGTCTTCGGACGACAATGATTTGACGCCGACCACATGATAGCATTATATGAATGAAAATTTTTGTTTACGGTCGTATATAAACCATGAATTCAAACAAAGTTTAATTTTGGACCCTTTGGACCTTAATATGGACTTATTTGAAAACAGGGCCCAAAATTAAAAATCTATATGCATAGTTAGATTCAGCATATCATAGAACCACCAGAATTCAGTTTTTGATGAAATCAAACAGTCTAATTTTGGACCCTTTGGACCTCAATGTAGACCTATTTAAAAATGTCCAAATAATCAATGTAGTAATACATGGTAAAAACCTCAAACAATTTTATTCCCCACTTCCATTCTCAATTTTATTTAAATTGAAATTGGTTAAAAGATTTGTATTTATTTTCAACTGAAGATTTATTGCTGTTGTGCAATACTTTTAAGTTAGTAAATCTGTTTACAAACTAAATATAATAATTTACACAACCTGTTTGGTGTGTATCTCCTGCCATATCAGTATTTGTTTCTTTATATAGATCAGAAATAATTTATGTTAGAACCAGCTTAGCCAGTATTAGAAGTCTTGTTTTTGGCCCCTATTTGGCCTCTAGTTATTTAACGATTAATGCCACAACCCACAAAATCGACCCCAACGTTCTGTGTGTGGTATGGAACTTTGTGGTACAATTTCATAGAGATCCATTGACTAATACTTAAGTATTTGCTTGTTCCTCCCCCCTTTTTGCCCCTTATTCCTGAATGGTTTGAGCCATTACCCCTAAAGTTAAACCCAACCTTCCCTTTGTGGTATGGAACCTTGTGTTTCAATTTTATAGAGATCCATAGATAATACTTAAGTAATTGTCTATTAACCAAAAAAACCTTGTTTTCCACCCTTTTTTTTGCCCCTAGTTCCTGGAAATTCCAGAAACCAAATGTCTTCAGATGATGACGACGACGATGATAACATGATAGAAATATACGAACGCAAATTTTTTGCAGTCGTATAAAGATTAATAAAATGCTCCGCTGGGCGCAGCTTGATGCGACCGCAGAGGTCAACCCTGAACAGTTGGGGCAAGTATGGACACAACATTCAAGCTTGATACAGCACTGAATTTGGATTGTGATTAAATATTTGACACAGCATAGGTTTCTGACACAGAATGAATGTGGTCTAAGAACTTAAAATTTTCTAATTTACCTATTCAAACCATATCATTATTATTTGCTTTTATATATAAATCACAAATAACCAATTTAAAATGGAAAATTTTAAAGAAAAAAAATCCCCCCCCCCCAATTTTTTGAACCCCCTTATAATTCATCACCCCCAAACTCAATCCCAGCCTTCCCTTTGTGGTATGGTACCTTGCAGTACAATTTCAGAGAGATCGATACACTTGAACACAAGTTATTGTCTGGAAACTAGAAAAATGCTTGTTTTTTTGGCCCCTTTTTGACCCCAAATTCCTAAACATTAAGGGCAATTACCCCCAAACTCAAACCCAGCTTTCCCTTTGTGATATGGAACCTTGTAGTACAATTCTATAAAGATCCATACACTTACACAAAAGTTATTGCCGTGAAACTAGAAAAATGCTTGTTTTTTGCCCCTTTTTGGCCCCTAATTCCTAAAATTTTGAGGCAATTACCCTCAAACTCAATCCCAGCCTTCCCTTTGTGGTATGTTACCTTGCAGTACAATTTCATAAAGATCCATACACTTACACAAAAGTTATTGTCGTGAAACTAGAAAAATGCTTGTTTTTTGCCCCTAATTCCTAAAATTTTGAGGCAATTACCCCCAAACTCAATCCCAGTCTTCCCTTTGTGGTATGGTACCTTGCAGTACAATTTCAGAGAGATCAATACACTTGAACACAAGTTATTGTCTGGAAACTAGAAAAATGCTTATTTTTGGCCCCTTATTCCTAAACGTTTTGGGCAATTACCCCCAAACTCAATTCCAGCTTTCTCTTTGTGATATGGAACCTTGTAGTACAATTTCAGAAAGATTCATAGACTTACACACAAGTTATTGTCATGAAACTAGAAAAATGCTTGTTTTTTGCCCCTTTTTTAGCCCCGAATTCCTAAAATTTTAAGGCAATTACCCCCAATATCAATCCAAGCATTCCCTTTGTGATATGGAACCTTGTGGTACAATGTCAGAGAGATCCATACACTAACACACAAGTTATGTCTGGAAGTTACAAAAATGCTTATTTTTGGCCCCTTTTTGACCCCTAATTCCTTAACTGTTGGTACCATAACCCCCAAAATCAATCCCAACCTTCCTTTTGTGGTATTGAACCTTATGGTAAAATTTCATACAGATCCATTCACTTAAACTAAAGTTAGAGTGCGAAAACCAATGTGTCTTCGGACGACGCCAGACAACGACGACGCCGACGACAACAACGTCATACCAATATACGACCACAAAATTTTTTGGCGGTCGTATAAAAACTTAACATTGTCTATCATAATACATGAACATAACATTAACCATGAAAACTTTACATTGACCAAGGAACCATGAAAATGAGGTCCAGGTCAGATGAAATCTGCCAGATAGACATGTACACCTTACAAGCATTCCATTTACCAAATATAGTGGCTCTATTGCTTACAGTATCTGAGATGTAGACCAAACTGGAAAAACGTAACATTGTCCAATGAACCATAAAAAAGGTGAAGGTCAGATGAAACCTGCCAGACAGACATGTATACCTTATAATCATTCCTTACACCAAATACAGACAATATATATTGCTTTAATACAGTATCTGAAAAAAAAAGGCCAAACAACAAAAAACTCATCTTCTCAACATTGACCAATGGAACATGGAAATGAGATCAAGGTCAGATGAAACCTGTCAGTCTGACATTTACACCTTACAATCATTCCACACCCTAAATATAGTTGACCTAGTGCTTATAGTATCTGACAGACTTGACCATAAAAACTTAATCTTTTTCACTGATCCATGAAATGAGGTCAAGGTCAGATGAACCCTGTCTGACGAACAAGTAGACCTAGCAAGGATCCCATATATGAAATATAGTTATTCTAACACTCATAAAAAGGGAGTAATTCACATGACAAAAAAACTCACCAAACCATAAAAATGAGGTCAAGGACAATGGACATACGACAGATGGAAACTTCGTATCATAAGGCATTTGCATACAAGGTATAAAGCATCTATATAAAAATAAGGAGATGTGGTATGTTTTGCCAATGAGACAACTATCCACCCAAGTTAAAATGAAGTTGATGTAAGCAATTATAGGCAACAGTATGGCCTTCAACAATGAGAAAAACCCATACTGTACAGTTGGCTATAAAAGGCCCTGACATGAAAAATATGAAACAATTCAATTGAGAAAACTAACTCTAATAGGTCATATAACAGAAAAATATAAAGCTTTATGCAAATAGTTTATGTTGTTTCTGTTGCCAGATTGTAACCCTACGTCTCGCATTCTAAGACAAAAATGTAACAAAAATTTCGTACATTGCAATTTTGTTTAGAATAGTTTTTTGTAAACAGGAAGTTGATGAACGATGAATCTGAAACCATGTCACACAGTATAGCATGCTGACATGATGTCTGATAACAAATTTCATGAAGTTATTATTTGTAGTTCCTGTGAAAAATGCAACAGAAATGTAAGGGCATGAACAGACAAGACAGGGTAAAACAGTTTATTTCTTATGCAGCAAAAATACTGCAATCTGATTGGTTGATTACCCCGGTGTAAATAATACCCCACCCTTGTTCACCCCGGGATAAATAAAATTTTGTCAAAAAATAAAAAAATATAAAATTTTGCCAAAATAAAGAAAAAATAAAATAAAATGTAAAAAAAAAAATAAAAAATAAATAAATAAATAAATTTGAGGAAAAAAAATGAAAAAAAATTAAAAACATTATTTAAAATTTTTTTTCCCCAAAAATTCAAAAGAACACAAAAAATTTCTGAATTTCCCAAAAATAAAGAAAAAAGTATTTGAAAAGGCGCAGCAACATCGACGTTGAAAAAATGTTACACTGGAAATTTTTCATTACCATTTTTCAGTTTTACATCCTGGTTTAAAAATGAGTAAAGGAATTGTTCATGAGAAATAAATTCGTTATCTTGGTGTAATCAGGGGTGTACAGAATTTTACACCGTTGTTGAAAATTCATACACCCATTCGGCTGCGCCTCAGGGTGTAACCCAGTGTATGAATTTTCAACAACGGTGGAAATTCTGTACACCCCTGATTACACCAAGATATCTAATAATATCCCCACCTTCAGAGCAGGGTATAACTACCTAAAAAAAGTTCAGAAATAGGACTAAATTGGCCTTTAATTATAAATATGAAGAAAACAACAAATAATTTGTTTTTATTAAAAAAGATATTTTCCCATTTATCAATGTATAAACCTGACAACAATTAACAATAATTACAATAATTACAATTTTCAATCTTCATTTATGTTTTTCCCTTTCAAAATCAAAATTAATAGAACCAATATTCAAAGTAATTATTATTTTTCTTAATGCACATCAGACAGTAAATCCTTTTCTGTGATTATTCAAAAATGTTTCTGATTGCTAAATGTATGTACACTATTGAGTCAGAGAAGGAGGTATGATCAGAGATTTTATCTGACCCCTGAGATTGCATTGAGTAAAATTCTTCCAACACAATCAAAATTATGTCAATTCAACCAATAAATGAAGAAGATAATATAATTTGGTGCTTTTAGCAAGAAACATCATCTGTGATGATAAACATGTCACGATTGACATGATTGCCTTAAAATAGCCAGTTTACAAACAAACAGTGTTTGATTAATTCAAATATAAACATCAGCCTCACAACATCACATTAAAACTTTCCAATGAGACATATAGTGGCAAATAAATAATTTTGTTTACTCATTTCTTATAAACGGAGAAATAATTATGGTCGTTTTTCTTTAAAATCAAGAAATTTGGAGGACTTACTATAAAGCAAATATGCAAGACAAAAATTCACAAATAAATTGTCTGACCGACTTATCTTTTGTAAGCTCCTTAGACATTTAGAGCTCATGTTACTTTTTTATCTTTTATATATGTGATGACTTTTAATAACATTAACTAACTTGCTTACTATAAGTCTAAACAATGTCATTAGACAGATATATAACATTTTTTAATTTCCAAATATAAGGGGCCAAAAAAGTAGCTGTATCATACATTCTCCTTTAATTGATTAATTTGAAGACAACATTCATCCAAGAACTTTCTGCTTATTAGGCCAGATTGTGTAGGTACAGCACAATTTAACAGCTTTTGCAGACAAACTGTCAGTCAACATTCATCATTATTCTAGCTTTCAACAATATAAATTTTCATAACAAAATGTCCTAGTAGTCCTTGATTGCATCTTCACAACAGCCACACATAAAAAACACCATTGCTTCCTTTTAATTCTTTACTTAAACAAAAAGCTGAAAAACAAAGTACAAAATATATTAGTTGAAAAATTTCATAAATTTTTAAAAGACCTTTTCATAAAATTCCTTACAAATCAAAGATTATATATAATTCTTTTCTGTACTGTACAAATCCAATATTTATTTTATGCTTGAGAATACCTTTACAGTTGTCTCAGTTTATGTCTTAAATCGTCATTTATAGTTACACAATTATGTTTTCCCACTAGTCAGGTGTTATCATCTAAATATCTAACACTGTTGCAGATTTAAAGAACAAAATTATAATTTATCATTAATTAATTAAAAGTTTTTTAGGAAAACTATTCTGTATCTGATATTCATTGATTCTCATAAAAACAAGATATACATTTATGAATTTTTAGCAATTTAAATCAATACATTGAAACAATGCATAAATTTGCATCAAAATATATACTTGTAGCTAAGTGGGTCTATACAAATGTCTATTAATGTGTGTTAGATGGAAGTAAAAGTCCTGTTACTCAGGGATGACAGACCAAAACATTTCCAAAATCAAAAACTAGCTATTTTCGCTCAATCCTAATGTTGTGTTAAGATTTCATGAGAATGGTTTAATGCAAATTTTATTTATTTTAAGTGTTAACATACACGGATGGACTAATGGCTAGATGGACAGACAATGGTTTACCATAATACATCCCTTACAAGTGTATAAAATGGTACCATATTTAGATTTTTCTGAACATTGAATCCGTCCAAAACTATACGATAAGTATGTGTAATAATAGACAGATTGCAGGATGGACAAATGTGTTTTCAGAGCCATAAATAATAAAATGGACATCTTTAACACAGGTACCATAATCTGTTTGACAGGAAGCAGAGCTTTAGATTTTTCCCATTGATTGCAATGTGGTGAAAATATAGGTTTTATTAATTAAAAACATAAAAGTTAGGGGTTTTTTTTGGAACAAAAAATGCTATGCATACAAACCTGTAAGGATATCCTTGGTATTTAGATCTAAACACTGATAACAGTAAACTAAAGAAGAAGGCAACAAGTCCTAGGCCAACCAATGCAAGAACTGAAATAAGAACACAAAGTTATAAAATGCATCTAATTTCCATCATGCACAAAATATGCTAGTTAAAATTTTTTTCAGAATCTGGCAATTATATCTATTCAACTCAATATATATAATCTTTTTTCTTAAATCAAAAGAAACATGACAAAATAAATGTTTGCAGTCAACAACTAGAGGCTCTCAAGAGCCTGTGTCGCTCACCTGTATTTACTGATGCTTTGGAAATCATGTAAAATAAGGTTAAAATCATAATTAATAGTATTAGATATTAGATATTATAATGATATCTAAGATAATAAAAAAAAAAACTGCAAAATTTTTGTAAAATTACTAACTCAGGGGCAGCAACCCAACAACAGATTGTCGGATTCGTCTGAAAATTTCAGGGCAGATAAATCTAAATCTGATGAACATTTTTGCCACCTGTCAGATTTGCTCTAAATGCTTTAGTTTCAGAGATATAAACCAAAAACTGCATTTTACCCCTATGTTCTATTTTTAACCAAGTTGGCCATGATGGTTGGAAGGCGGGGTCATCGGACAAAGTTTTTGAACTAAATACCCTAATAATGATTATGGCCAAGTATGGTTAAATTTGTCTCAGTAGTTTCAGAGAAGAAGATTTTTGTAAAAGATTACAAAAATTTACAAAAAATTGTTAAAAATTGACTATTAAGGGCAACAACTCCTAAAGGGGTCGACTGACAATTTTGGTCATGACAACTTATTTGTAGATCTTACTTTGCTGAACATTATTGCTGTTTACAGTTTATCTCTATCTATAATAATATTCAAGATAATAACCAATAAAATGCTCCGGCAGGGCGCAGCTTGATACGACCGCAGAGGTCGAACCCTGAACAGTTGGGGCAAGTATGGACACAACATTCAAGCTTGATACAGCTCTGAATTTGGATTGTGATTAAATATTTGACACAGCATAGGTTTCTGAGACAGAATGAATGTGGTCTAAGAACTTAAAAATTTTAAATTTGACATTCACCTAGTATGGTCCAATATCAAAAATCTAAATACATGGTTAGATTCAGCATATCAAAGAACCCCAAGAATTCAATTTTTGATGAAATCAAACAAAGTTTAATTTTGGACCCTTTTGACCTCAATGTGGACAAAGTTGATAACGGGGCCCAAAAATCAAAAATCTAAATACATGGTTAGATTCAGCATATCAAAGAACCCCATATATTCAATTTTTGTTGAAATCAAACAAAGTTTAATTTTGGACCCCGATTTGGACCAACTTGAAAACTGGGCCCATAATCAAAAATCTAAATACATGTTTAGATTCAGCATATCAAAGAACCCTAAAAATTCAATTTTTGTTAAAATCAAACTTAAGTTTAATTTTGGACCCTTTGGACCTTAATGTAGACCAATGTGAAAACGGAACCAAAAATTAAGAATCTAAATACACGGTTAGATTCGGCATATCAAAGAACCCCAATAATTCAATTTTTGATGAAATCAAACAAAGTTAAATTTTGGACCCTTTGGACCTCAATGTGGACCAATTTAAAAATGGGGCCCAAAATCCAAAAACTTAATACACGGTTAGATTCAGCATATTAAAGAACCCCAAGAATTCAAGAATAAAACCCCATTGAAATTGATCAAGAAATAAGCAATTTATACGAAGTATCTTCTTTTGCACAATACTGTGCAATTGAATATTTCTTGCTATTGCGCAATACTGTACAATTGACAATTTCTTGCTATTTCGCAATATTGTGCTATTGGATATTTCTTGCTATTGCGCAATACTGTGCAATTGAAGATTTCTTGCTATTGCCGATACTGTGCAATTGAAGATTTCTTGCTATTGTGCAATACTGTGCAATTGAAAATTTCTTGCTATTGCACAATACTTATTATATAATAATTTACACATGCTGTTTGGTGTGTATCTCCTACCATATCATTATTATTTGCTTTTAAATATTAATCAGAAATAACCAACTTAAAATGGAAAATTTTAAAAGAAAAAAAAAAGGAAAAAAAAAAAAAAAAAAGAAAAACAAAAAATCCCCCCTCCAAAATTTTTTGAACCCCCTTATGATTCATCACCCCCAAACTCAATACCAGCCTTCCCTTTGTGGTATGGTACCTTGCAGTACAATTTCAGAGAGATCCATACACTTGAACACAAGTTATTGTCTGGAAACTAGAAAAATGCTTATTTTTGGCCCCTTTTTGGCCCCCAATTCCTAAACGTTTCGGGCAATTACCCCAAACTCAATTCCAGCTTTCCCTTTGTGATATGGAACCTTGTAGTACAATTTCAGAAATATCCAAACACTTACACACAAGTTATTGTCATGAAACTAGAAACATGCTTGTTTTTTGCCCCTTTTTTGGCCCCTAATTCCTAAAATTTTGAGGCAATTACCCCAAAAATCAATTACAGCCTTCCCTTTGTGATATGGAACCTTGTGGTACAATGTCAGAGAGATCCATACACTTACACACAAGTTATTGTCTGGAAGTTACAAAAATGCTTATTTTTGGCCCCTTTTTGGCCCCTAATTCCTTAACTATTGGTACCATAACCCCCAAAATCAATCCCAACCTTCCTTTCGTGGTATTGAACCTTATGGTAAAATTTCATGGAGATCCATTCACTTAAACTAAAGTTAGAGTGTGAAAACCAATGTGTCTTCGGACGACGCCGACGACGACGACGCCAACGTCATACTAATATACGACCAAAAAATTTTTCATTTTTGCGGTCGTATAAAAACTGCAAAATTTCCTTAAAATTACCAATTCAGGGGCAGCAACCCAACAACAGCTTGTCAGATTTGTCTGAAATTTTCAGAGCAGATAGATCTTGACCTGATAATCAGTTTTACCCTATGTCAGATTTACTCTAAATGCTTTGGTTTCAGAGATATAAGCCAAAATCTACATTTTACCCCTATGTTCTATTTTTAGCCATGGCGGCCATCTTGGTTGGTTGGCGGGGTCATCGGACACATTTTTTAAACTAGATACCCTAATGATGATTGTGGCCAAGTTTGGTTAAATTTGGCCCAGTGGTTTCAGAGGAGAAGATTTTTGTAAAAAGCTAACGACGACGGACGAAAATTGTAAAACATTGAGAGAGAGGTAGCTTCAACTGGCTGTTGAACTGTATCATATTAATGATGATAAAATTGAGAATGGAAATGGGGAATGTGTCAAAGAGACAACAACCCGACCACAGAACAGACAACAGCAGAAGGCCACTAACAGGTCTTCAATGCAGCGAGAAATTCCCGCACCCGGAGGCGTCCTTCAGCTGGCCCCTAAACAAATATATATACTAGTTCAGTGATGATGAACGCCATACTAAACTCCAAATTGTACACAAGAAACTAAAATTAAAAATAATACAAGACTAACAAAGGCTAGAGGCTCCTGACTTGGGACAGGCGCAAAAATGCGGCAGGGTTAAACATGTTTATGAGATCTCAACCCTCCCCCTATACCTCTAGCCAATGTAGAAAAGTAAACGCATAACAATACGCACATTAAAATTCAGTTCAAGAGAAGTCCGAGTCTGATGTCAGAAGATGTAACCAAAGAAAATAAACAAAATGACAATAATACATAAATAACAACAGACTACTAGCAGTTAACTGACATGCCAGCTCCAGACTTCAATTAAACTGATTGAAAGATTATGTCTTCATCATATGAATATCAGGCACAATCCTTCCCGTTAGGGGTTTAGTATCATACCATCATAACATATATGAGAAGAACATAACCCGTGTCATGCCAACAACTGGTTTTTAAATAAATGTGTTTAGTGCCGATGCAAAGACCCTATAAGTGAATCAATATTAACGCCAAAATATGCAATCTTTAATGACCTGACAACAGTATCGTAACTATATCCCTTCTTAATAAGTCTATTTAAAGGTTTTGTTAGTTTCAGAGGTGAATACTGACATTTTTGTGCTTTATAAAGAATATTTCCATAAAAAATTGGATGTGAAATACCTGAACGTATAAGTCTGCATGTTGAGCTATATATAACACATTACACAAAAATTATGACTTATTAGTAAATATAAGAAGATGTGGTATTGGTATGAGTGCCAATGAGACAACTCTCCATCCAAGTCACAATTTGTAACAGTAAACCATTATAGGTCAAAGTATGGCCTTCAACATGGAGTCTTGGCTAAAACCGAACAGCAAGCTATAAAGGGCCCCAAAAATGACTAGTGTAAAACAATTCAACCAGGAAAACCAACGGTCTAATCTATATAAAAAACGAGAAACGAGAAACACTTATGAACCACATCAACAAACAACAACCACTAAACATCAGGTTCCTGACTTCTGACAGGTGCAAACAAATGCAGTGGGTTTAAACGTTTTAATAGGCGCCAACCTTCACACTACCTGAAACAATAGTGTAACATCACAACATAGAAAGACACACTATAAAATATCAATTGAAATGGCTTAACTCAATCAAAAGACATATTAACAAAAACAAGTGAACATACACTGAATGAATAAATTTGATCTATGGCACAATGTAAATACAAAATTAATAAAACAAGGGGTTAGATGTAAAATTATGACCAAATACTGTGCAAGAAATTTTCAGAATCTTGGTATTTATAGAACACTTAAGTTGTGTAAAATATTTATTGCAGATTTAATATAGCAAACTTAATAATCATTTGACATTAACAAATTTATTATAATTTTGAAGATTAAAGTTAATTAACTCTGGAATGAAAAATCTAAAAATTTTCCGAAAGACCCAATAAGAAAAGTTAAGTTATAAGTAAACATGCTACCAACTGTAATTTTTTAATGATTTAATAAAGTTGCAGAACACTTAAAAAAAACACAAATTTGAAAATTGTCAATTGGTAATTCACAGTTGCAACAATTCATGTCAAATATCTCTAAAACTACAATTCTGAAAATTGTTGAAATCAATAGGGAACTTATCAAATTATATCATTGTGTAAATTTTTTTTATTATTTTTCAGAACCAAAGAGAGACATTTTTGATTAAATAGACAAACAGACAATGTTATTTCTTTATACATCCAATATTTGTGGGCATTTAAAAATTCTAAATCAAATTATTATAGTCTAAATGACTAAATTAGTTTACAGTAAATTAAACTTACTTCTTCTTTTTCCACTGTCTCCTTTGATATTATTAGCTTCATTCAACATTATGAACCCTCCAACAACTGCTGCATCTGAAAGCTGGTTAAGGATCATTTTCACATTTATAATATTTTATATCTGTATAAATATTCTTTCTGTCAGTCATATATTTCTTTCCCCTAAACCTACATATTACTAGTACATGAAGCTACATATAAAAGTAACAAGAGTGCACACACTGAAATGTCTCGCCTTCTTTACTAATCATTGATATTATGTTGATAGTCCTAAATATAAAGCTTTATTACAACTGTCACATAAACTTAACATTAACCAAGAAAACTAAACATTGACCAATGAACCATGAAAATGAGGTCAAGGTCAGATGAACCATGCCAGGCAGACATGTACAGTTAACAATTCTTCCATATAACAAATATAGTTGACCTTTTGCTTATAGTTTAAGACCAAAACACAAAAACTTAACACTGAGCAATGAACCGTGAAAATGAGGTCAAGGTCATATAAAACCTGCGCGACTGACATAAAGATCATAAAATATTTCCATACACCAAATATAGTTGACCTATTGCATATAGTATTAGAAAAAAAGACCAAAACTCAAAAACTTACCTTTGACAACTGAACCATTAAAACGAGGTCAAGGTCAGATGACACCTGCCAGCTAGACATGTACACCTTACAATCATTCCATACACCAAATATAGTAGACCTATTGCATACAGTATAAGAAAAACAGACCAAAACACAAAAACTTAACTATAACCACTGAACCATGAAAACGAGGTCAAGGTCAGATGACACCTGCCAGCTAGACATGTACACCTTACAATCATTCCATACACCAAATATAGTAGACCTATTGCATACAGTATAAGAAAAACAGACCAAAACACAAAAACTTAACTATAAACACTGAACCATGAAAACGAGGTCAAGGTCAGATGACACCTGCCAGCTAGACATGTACACCTTACAATCATTCCATACACCAAATATAGTAGACCTATTGCATACAGTATAAGAAAAACAGACCAAAACACAAAAACTTAACTATAACCACTGAACCATTAAAACGAGGTCAAGGTCAGATGACACCTGCCAGCTAGACATGTACACCTTACAATCATTCCATACACCAAATATAGTAGACCTATTGCATACAGTATAAGAAAAACAGACCAAAACACAAAAACTTAACTATAACCACTGAACCATGAAAACGAGGTCAAGGTCAGATGACACCTGCCAGCTAGACATGTACACCTTACAATCATTCCATACACCAAATATAGTAGACCTATTGCATACAGTATAAGAAAAACAGACCAAAACACAAAAACTTAACTATAACCACTGAACCATGAAAACGAGGTCAAGGTCAGATGACACCTGCCAGCTAGACATGTACACCTTACAATCATTCCATACACCAAATATAGTAGACCTATTGCATACAGTATAAGAAAAACAGACCAAAACACAAAAACTTAACTATAAACACTGAACCATGAAAACAAGGTCAAGGTCAGATGACACCTGCCAGCTAGACATGTACACCTTACAATCATTCCATACACCAAATATAGTAGACCTATTGCATACAGTATAAGAAAAACAGACCAAAACACAAAAACTTAACTATAACCACTGAACCATGAAAATGAGGTCAAGGTCAGATGACACCTGCCAGTTGGACATGTACACCTTACAATCATTCCATACACCGAATATACTAGACCTATTGCTTATAGTATCTGAGATATGGACTTGACCACCAAAACTTAACCTTGTTCACTGATCCATGAAATGAGGTTGAGGTCAAGTGAAAACTGTATGACGGGCATGAGGACCTTGCAAGGTACGCACATACCAAATATAGTTATCCTACTACTTATAATAAGAGAGAATTTAACATTACAAAAAATGTTAACTTTTTTTTCAAGTAGTCACTGAACCATGAAAATGAGGTCAAGGACATTGGACATGTGACTGACGGAAACTTCGTAACATGAGGCATCCATATTCAAAGTATGAAGCATCCTGGTATTCAACCTTCTAAAATATAAAGCTTTTAAGATGTGAGCTAACGCCGCTGCCGCCGCCGCCGCCGGATCACTATCCCTATGTCGAGCTTTCTGCGACAAAAGTCGCAGGCTCGACAAAAATGAATCGTCTATGTTTCAAAACAGAATTCATATATAAATGTAAAAGAATTTTGGAAGGACTTGTTTATATACCTTGTTATATACTCTCTCTCGTAAAATCCACATCAACATAAAGGATCAAGACCTAGTATTATTTTAATCTAATCTATACTTTTAATTTAAAAAAAACTTTGTTTACAAATTATTTCAAATGTGAAGAAATCGCAAATGTAATATATGAAATTTAATATTGTTCCTGTTCTACCACTAGTAGAAACTAAAAGGTTTAAAAAATAGCTGAATTTAAATCAACTCTTACATTCACTTCATTTGAAATCTGGACCCTGTTGTTCATTTTTTGGTTAAATTTTAACTAACGGTTAAATATCATAATCCTTGTTTGAAATTTAACCATAGGTTATTTTCAGTTGCTCATCCTGAGGTTAGATTTAACCCTTTGTTAAGTCCTTGGTTAGATAATTCAGATTTAACCTTGCTTCGGACCTCGGTTAAATTTTAACCAAGGAATAGTTTGTCTAAAATTACGATTCCCTGTTTATAACTAGATTGGAAAGGTCACTAAACGTTTGATACAACATATTCTTTGTTTTCTACAACCATTAGTATCAAATAAAAACTGATTATTACGTTTTAGTCCTTCCCCCTTTTTTTGCATCAAGGTTACTTTCATATTGTGTACCTATCAAACTTTCTTAAATCAATATTTTTGTTTACCCTGGCATCTTCTATGTTAATAAAAAAAAATTGATGCAGCAAAATTAAACATCTTTTATCTTTAATAATTTTATTTACGATCAACACTTCTTTTCAAACAAAAGGTGCTCTCTGTCACGTCCATGTTGTTGTCCTTAGACGCTGAAAGCGTATTGTTTTTTTTATAATAAATCATATTTATTGACCAAACAGTTTTTCTAGGACCAGAGGAAAGTGAAGATAATTCTTATTTTGACAAAAATGAATATTCACTGAAAATTTAACCGTGTTACATAACCCCAGGTTAATAAGAAGTTGAACAACAGAATTTCAACCCTTGGTTACGTAACCCTTAGTTAAATGATTTAACCCTTGGTTATATTTGACAAAAGATTACATTTAACTGAGAGATGAACAACCAGGTCATGGTGGATAGTTGTCTCATTGGCAATCATACCTCATCTCCTTGTTTTTATACCAAACAATCTTTTAATATCAATATGAACTAAAATCCTGTTTCAGTATAATTACAAATACTAAGTTTGTAAAAAGTAAATCAAATAAAATTCTGCAAGCCTTTTACATTATAAGCGGTTGATTCCATGTGATTATTAGCCGTAATTTTACCAAAAATAAAAATAAAGCATATATCAATTACACTATCATTCATGCAATCTAATTAAAAATTCTAAATACATGTATCAGTAACTAAATCAAAATAATTCCAGCAATTTGAAATACTATTATGTTTCACTCTGATTGATAAAGGTAAAATCGTTTTTATAAAAATGTTAAAAGTTAAACCCCAAATGCAATGGTTGACCTATTCAAAGTAAAGCCATATTAAGGAAACCATTTTATCTGAATAATATTGAGTTCAATACTGACAACTGTTAAAATTGCTCTTTAAAAAAAATCAAATTCCACTGACCAGTTGTAAAAAAACAGAAAAAAAGTATAATAAAAAAGAAAATAATAAATGTTAGTATGATTGTCAGTATCTGTTATTATGTCACCTTTAAACCAGCAAAATTATGAGCAACATTAAAGATACTAAGTAAACAAACTATACCAGATTCCAGGAGTGTCTGTTTCAGAGGATCAGAGTTAACCTGTATCAGTCAAGATTTTAAATGGATAAGTTACCTCAACATTGCTCAACAACAAAGATGATTTGGTCTCACATACATTAAATACACTAGAATATGATTCATTGTATATTCTTATTGCAGGTACTTTTGAATTATACCATACACACATTTATGTTTAATGGTTTGGGCTAACTAAAGGATAATTGCATTTGGCTACCCCTAAAAATATCAAAACCATAACTACAGAAAATTGATCTTTGACAAGATTTAATTAGAAATTACTAAATTTCCAACCCTTTATTCTGGATTGCAAATATTTTCCAAATAAATTTTTTCTTCAAATTCTTGGTAATTTATTCAGTTGTAAATGACACTTAATTGTTAAACAGAACTTTATTTAGTTGGTGAGCTAGTTGGTTACTGGACTTAAGTTGTTGAGTGAGCTGGTTACTAGACTTTATTCAATTTGAGAGCAAGTTGATTTCTGGACTTTATTTAGGTTTTAGTGTATTGGTTACTGGACTTTTACTTAGTTGGTGAATGAGCTGGTTGCTTTACACATTCTCACATTATCAACATATTAATATATTGTTCATTTTCATAATTTTCTTGTGCCTAAAGCTTTACTTTAAGAGAATAACTGTACTATATATGAATACTTGATGTCATTATTATTAGAACTTCATTTTTCAATCACATCTGAATGCATTCAAATAGATCCAGTTATTGTGATTTAAATGGTGAATTTTTTGAAACAAAAACTTCTAAATTAAGGGAAAAATCATCTGAAATATTTTTTTTTTGTTGTTATCAATGATTATAAAATTAATCTAGAACTTTGACTGATATATAGCTAAAACAGAACTATACATACCAGTATTAAAGAAAACATGGACAGAAAAGACAGTCAAATATTTCTTATTTACTGCCTCAAACCACAGAAAAGATGTTTATTTCAATAGTTATTTTTTTGAAACTACAAAAGGGGAAATAACTGTATATCAAGTTACTAGAATCAAATGTATACTTATTTTGGTGTCTACAAAATGTATATAAGTTTGAAAAATCACACTAATACCTGACTACCAAAATGTTAAGCAGTCCACTAAAAGGTGATATCCAGAATGTTTGTGTTTATGTAATATTTACATTTCAACATCTTCATTTTTGAAAAGGATTGCAATAAGTTAACAAAGGGAATTATCAATTATTTGAAATTCCAGCAAGTTAAAAAGATTATTCTTTAACATTTTCTTATAAATTATGAAACATAAATCATAATTTGGTAAATGACCTGATACTAATTTCAGGATACTCAATAAAAAGACTATATATGTTTCTGCAACAAATTGTCCTTGGCTACTCCCATGTATATAATTCTGCAAAACATAGAAAAAAACATGCAAATATCAAAGTAAAATAAAATGTTAGATCACATTCATATTTGTTAATGCCTTTTCCTTATAAAATAAAAACTGATCATGCAAAAGACCAATGTCTTTAAAATATGAAAGGTTATTTTTTTTTTTTTGTATTTGTTTGTTTATTTTTTTAAAAGTTTTACATCATTTTCTTCATATATGTGTAAAATTTCATGTCGTTTCTTTTATAGAGGAAACCAGACTGTTGCTATCAAAGACTCCTATAACAACCACACTTGAATTGCTGCAGTAATGTCATTAGATCCACATGATTATCAGGATAAAACAAAACAGAAAATTATCACAGTGACTGCAGACAATTGTGGGTAATCTGAAAAATCTTACTAAATATTTCCATGGGCAATATATATGTGTGTGTGTGAAAAAAGCATAAATTAGAAGAATCACCTTTAATCACTAGCAGTCACCCTGCTTCAGTTCACAGTGAATCACTCAAAATTAGCCTGAGAGAAACATCTTGTGTGTACTGTATATGGAATAAATGGATGTTTCCTTAGCTGTTTTTTTTTTTAACTTTTTTTCTATATTGGTTTTATGAATTTTTGTTTACACTTTTTGAAAACCTACCATACCGTTCACAAATTCTAAACAATTTTTCCAAGGTCAAATAAGCAATACAAACATCTTGGCTCTTAAAACTGTATCTAGAACATCCTGGGCCCTTGATAATTAGTTTTTCTACAGTTTACCTATTCACTATAAATTGCATTAAAATGTTTGAGTTTTTATTACAATTTCAAAAGTGTAACACATGCAACTTTATTTTTTTTTTTGCAAATAAGAGATGAAAACACCAAACATTTAAACCCTTGTACCTCATGTAAAAACAAAAACTTACAATCTGACCAGTTTGTGGATTTTTGTGCATTACAGGAGGTCCTCGTATATGGTTCCACATCTGTCCAGATGTCATTGCGAAAATTATTACCTAAAAATTGTTTTAATATAAATAATCAGTTAAGCAATGCAAACTATGGGCTGTTCCAATTAATAGTCATGGGGGTGTTTGAAGGCACTAATATCTAAATAGCTGTATGGGACTGGGCAATTTGAGAAAAAAATCAATGCAATAAACTATCAAGAAATATGTTTGTGTTTATGGAGTCAGAATAAAATATCTTCAGACATTTCTGGAACAGCCGTATAACCTTATATTCTCTAATGGTAGGGAATTTATAATGATCACATTACTCATAAAAAAATACAAAGAGTTTGTCAAACTATGAATCAATATTTGACAATGTAGCATTAAACACTGACAGTCAAATTATAAAGAAAAGATATTTTATTTACTAAATTTTCAATAACTATCAAATATTAAAAAAAAAATGGAGATTGTGTCCATGGGACACATATGCTGCCCCCACTTGTATATATTGATAAACTAGAGAACTGTAAAAGTGATTCGAACTTGATCTGTGTTTTAATGGTTATAAGCATTGTGTATAAATTTAATAACATTTGGTTGAGGCAAGCTAAAGTTAGAGAACGGAAACTAATTTTGGGACCTACGCAAGGAAGGACGGACGGACATACAGACGTACAAGTTTAACACTTAATGCCCCTCTCCGCAGAGGCAGGGGCATAAAATATGTATATATATAGGTGGCACTTTTAGAAACAACAAGTGAAACTGCGAGCTACTGCAAGCTGATGATAGCCCGCCCAAATATGCAAATGATGTAAGTGTTCGGTAAACAGGAAGTTGTTGAGTGATGAATCTGAAAATGCATCAATCTGTATAGCTGACTCATATAAACCCTAAAACCAAATTTCAGAAATCCTTGTAATGTAGTTCCTAAGATAAATGTGATGAAAATTTTCAACTACTTGGATGTCATGTGTAAAATGATGTAAGTGTTCGGTAAACAGGAAATTGTTGAGTGATGAATCTGAAAACGCATCACACAGTACAGCTGACTTATATAAACCCTGAAACCAAATTTCAGAAATCCGTATGATGTAGTTCCTGAGAAAGATGTGACGAAAAATATTCATGGGACGGACGGACGGATGGACAGAGAGAGGTAAAACAGTATATATGATGGAGAAGTTTTTTGATTTTCTACGGTAATATCATAATTTCAAACATTACTATTAGAGTACTATATCTATGCAAATATCTTACCAGTGCTCCAATTCCCCAAAACGTTTTGTTGTAGATAAATTCTAAATTGTTTCTCTTCAAATATAGCAATCCACCAATCAAGGCAAACAGCAATGCTAAAGCAAGTGTCCCTGAATAGTTAGGAGGACGGAATATTCTGATCTGTAAAATAATTTAAATTTAAAAACATTTATCAAATTATGGGCAATGTGGTATTTAAAAGATTTGTTTTGTGTGTAAAGCATTGCAGGAAGATTTCTAACATTGAAAATTTTGGTAGTCACCATTAGACAATTATAAGAAAATGGAAAACATGTGCTATTTTTAACAAAAGTAACCTATCTTTTCAGAGCATTGATGTATTTTTAAAGCATATAGCTCAAACTTAAGTCTGCTGACATTCAAAACTTTAAAGGATGCATTGTTATTTAAAACATATACAAAGTAATCATTTTATTTTTTGTGACCAAATTCCTTTCCCTTGATCCCTATCATGGTTACCTTAATTAGGTTGAATGGCAGTTACAAGAGTAAGAGATTTTGCTCCAAATTTGGTCCTCTCATGCAAAAAAAAAAAATGACAATTTTTCTTCCTATTTCTTGACCTGCAAGACTAAGGGGTGCTGATAGTGTAGCTTTCTGCAGCCTGCATGGACAGTGGACCTCAGTGAACACATGAACTACAAAAGTTGTAATCTCAGAGAAAATTGTTATGGTTATGGCAGTCTACAGAAGGGCATTCCAATCCAAAATCCAGAAATTTTTTGATTTTTTTTTAATTTTTGGCTCTGTCAAGACCTGCAACCACAAGAAGTCAGCTAACCTTTAAAGTATTGAAAGCCATTAGAGCAAAAAAAACAGATTTCGTATAGAAGCTGTAATATTATAGCCCCACATCGACAGGGTCCAAGGTCACATCTGTAACAACACATATATACATTTAGATTTTACTGAATTATCTAATCAATATAACGCTACCTGTACATCTGTCCTCTCTTGTACCCATTTAGCAATGGCTTCTGCAGAAAATCCTACTCTGAAATAAAAACAAGTTTTTAATATTTTACTAGGAGAACAGATGGTAGAATGTTATTGGCTTCATAAAATTTAAATGAACTTTTATGGAAATATCTTCCAAGATGATCAAGAAAACATTAACGAAAACAAAAAATCCTATATGACATTCCCTTATAATTTTTAAAATGTCAATTACTGCAAAGTTTTGTCTTCAATTATACATATTATTATAGTAATCTGTTATGTGAAACCTGTTAATATCTAAAGTGTCTCCTTTCTTTGTCTTGCCTTTCTCTGGGAAGTGCATAAATACTGGAGCAGTGTTCATCTTCAGCTATGAAGATAAAGTATATATACATTATATTAATTCAATAAACAAATTTCATAACTTCACACCAGATTGATATCAACATTCTAAATTCAAATTCAAACTATCATGTCATTTATCTACATTGTATAAACTACCTTGGCAGCCTCACAGTAGCAGGGTCATTTTGACTGTGTTTCTAATCCAAGCTTGGTGATACCAAGGTTTTTACAATACAAGACTGCTGCTTACTTCATAGCTCATGTCTTTTCAGACAAGAGAACATTTTGGGTGGGTCAATATCAGAATAACCTAGGAGGGAGTGGCAAGTCAAACTTCAGAATATTAACTGGTGAGCTCCATGAAGCGTTACAAATCTGCCTCAACTTGTCAGCCTAGTACAAAGCAGGATTTGTATTCATGTCATATTTCCATGTCTTTCTACTGAATCTGATTGAAAAGTTATCTGTTGGATGTTGTTTTAACTTCCATCAATCCTTTGCTTCTGATTCGTTGTAGTGATATTGTATCTTTAGTTTTAATACTTGTATATATATATCGATTTTTTTTTTAAGTTTAATAATTATTTGGGTAAATTTTACTGTAATCATGGTAATCATTTAAAAAGAAATGTTCTCTATGTAATAAACTAACGGCATATTCCTTATATTTGTAATATACAGGTACCTTAAATTTAGAAGAATTTAAAAATGTTTTCATTTTTTGTTTCTAGTATAAAACATACAGTTATACCATTCAGTTACTTATATTAATAACATACCTGTGAAAACACATCTGCACCATCATCATAATCCACCATAGCGAAAAACAATTTGTTAGAATACTGCTGGGAGTACCTCCAAGAATTAGCCAGGATTACATACTCTTCATTGGCTTGTCTGAAAATCAATTAATGTAAGCAAAATTTGAAAAAGAAATATGGTTCCTGTTGCCTGGTTTATAGTTTTTGTCAAATTTTTGCTGCAATACCCAGTTTCATGGTTCACCTGATGAAGTGTTTTCCTGAATATGCATAAACTGTTTGCCAATGAACATTCAGCAAACAACAATCAATCACTTCAAGTTGAATATAAGCCATTCTTCTACTCTAAGCATGCAGAATTTGTTACATTTATAAACAAATTGTTTTGCAAAATCTATATGTATAAAGAAGTTTTATAGATATCAGAATTTCCAGGCCAATCATTGGTAATTATATACTTTGGTTTTTTTTTAGACTATAATAACATCATGAACATGACTCCAATCTGTGCATCTGAATCATAAAGCATTTGAAATACTTAGTTTATTTTATGTACATCATGTACATGTATGTATTTATTGTGTTAATAAACAATAATTATAATTATGTTTATATAAACACCTTTAAACTTACTTGCATACAGAACACTGTCTTTTAGGCTGTAGAGCAGTTAACATCACGATTACTGAATAATTTCTAGGTGCAGTTCTAACATACTGTTTAAATTTATCTCCATTAAACTTGATAACAGATTTCTTGTTGTTCCATTCTGTCATCTGTTGTACCTTTTCAGTAAGTAAATCCTAAAAGACAACATGAAAATAATAGACTTTTATAAACTTATTTTGAAATGGGTAAAATTTTTACAATTAATTCATTGATTCAAGTAGCAAAAACATTGGTTGGATTTAAGCCTTGACATATTGTATAAGATTAGATACTTTTTTGATGAAGATGGTGTGTACTATCATGTGTCAGTCATGTATGAAAATTAAATTATTATGTTTTATTTTTATACGTATTGCATTTGTGATTAATCACTGAATCCTCTTTAAAATTCAGGCCAGTATTTCATATTACCCAGTATTACCCGGTAAAACCCGGGTTTTCCCAGTATTTCCCACTGGGCTGGGCAATACTCATAAAACCCGGGTTTTTGCCAACCCTGTATTAATTTTGCAAAATTTTTTGAAAAGTGCCAATTTAACAAAGACTAGAAATTTAGGGGGAAAACAAACTATTATGGTACGTAGTATTACTCCTTGAGCTCAACATGTAGCTGGGACTATTATACTAACGGGACTGGAAACAGTTACACCAATCAGTGTAATAATATCAACATCACGGTCGTTAGAACGAGACTTTACCTGCGCTATTTATCGATACGCCATATTGTTTTGACAGTGACAGCGTGCCTTGATCTTGTAATTTCGGTAATTTGTTCTTTTTATTCTATAGTTATTCGAAATGATAATCCTTAATTTAAACATGATTACTATAATGATAAAAGATATCTCGATCTTTGACAGTTGTTATTACAGTCAGGGGTACTACTTGTACAAGTAATTTTTATTTACTTGAAGAAGTAAATATTAATATACTTATATAAGTAAATTTGTAGGATACTTATACAAGTGTATTTAATTTACTTGTATAGGTAAAAAAAAATTCGGCTTAGTTATGTCCCTTAGACATTCAGATTTTTTTACTTATACAAGTAAAAAAGTCATCCTATCTTCTTTTCTTGCATTCTTAGGACTTCTTTGCTCTAATAGAATTTTTGATTGTCTGTCCTTTGCAGATGTCTTTACTAATCATTTAAGTGTAATTTCATGGACAATGAAAATCTCATTTGTCTGTTATCTTCAGAACACTGCTCATTTACAAGCCCCCAAGGGGCAATTTTTGAAGACCTTGCGCAAATACCTAAGATCTTTACGCAATCAGTTTCTTTGTTGAATTAATGAGATGAAACATTGAACTCTAATAAAAAATTATGAGCTAACCTGAGAAAAATTGTTAAAGGCATGTTTTTACATCTCAAAACTTGAGAATTTTTGTGGGATTGTAAAAAAAATTTATTTATACAAGTAAATTTTTGAGAAAATTAAGGGGAGATTATTCAAACATTATAATTAACTTATATAAGTTTATTTTATTTACTTCTTCAAGTAAATAATAATTACTTGTACAAGTAGTACCCATGACTGTATTAATCACCAAATCCAGTCTTAAGTGTAAATAAAATGCTCTGCTGGGCACAGCTTGATACGACCGCAGAGGCTGAACCCTGAACAGTTGGGGCAAGTATGGACACAACATTCAAGCTTGATACAGCTCTGAATTTGGATTGTGATTAAATATTTGACACAGCATAGGTTTCTGACACAGAATGAATGTGGTCTAAGAACTTAAAAAATTTTAATTTACCTATTATGGTCCAATATCCAAAATCTAAATACATGGTTAGATTTGGCATATCAAAGAATCCAAAGAATTCAATTTTTGATGAAATCAAACAAAGTTTAATTTTGGACCCATTTGACCTCAATGTGGACCAATTTGATAACGGGGCCCAAAAATCAAAATACATGGTTAGATTCAGCATATCAAAGAACCCCATATATTCAATTTTTGTTGAAATCAAACAAAGTTTAATTTTGGACCCCAACTTGGACCAACTTGAAAACTGGGCCCATAATCAAAAATCTAAACACATGTTTAGATTCTGCATATCAAAGAACCCCAAAATTCAATTTTTGTTAAAATCAAACTAAGTTTAATTTTGGACCCTTTGGACCTTTATGTAGACCAATTTGAAAACTGGACCCAAAATTAAAAATCTAAATACACGGTTAGATTTGGCATATCAAAGAACCCCAATAATTCAATTTTTGATGAAATAAAACAAAGTTTAATTTTGGACCCTTTTGACCTCAATATGAACCAAAGTGATAGCGGGCCCACAAATAAAAAATCTAAATACATGGTTAGATTCAGCATATCAAAGAACCCCATATATATTCAATTTTTGTTGAAATCAAACAAAGTTTAATTTTGGACCCCAATTTAGACCAACTTGAAAACTGGGCCCAAAATCAAAAATCTAAATATATGTTTAGATTCAGCATATCAAAGAACCCCTTATATTCAATCTTTGTTAAAATCAAACTAAGTTTAATTTTGGACCCTTTGGAACTTATTGTAGACCAATTTGAAAACTGGACCCAAAATTAAAAATCTAAATACACGGTTACATTTGGCATAACAAATAAATAAATGTGGTCAAAGATATTACAAATCTAATGTGCCATACTGTGCAATTAAAGATTACTTCTTGAAATTTTTCAATATTTGAAATTTGAAAAAAAAAAAAAATATTTGAAGAATAATTCTTTTTAATTTCTGAAATCTGAAATGAAAATTACTCCCCCCCCCCCCCCCCCCCCCCCTTTTTCCCCCAAAAAATTCTTTCCCTCAAGATATGGTCATAATCTCAAATCAAATTTCCACTGGAATTTGCAACCATAATTTTGCAACCATAATTACCCATTTAAATTTACCACAGTGCTAACTTAATCTGTTTTATAATAGAATTTAAAATATGGTGTAAAATCTTTCATATGGATTTTTTTGCAAAAAAAAAAGATGCAACATTTGCAGATATTTTTACTGGTCTTCCTTTATAAATATGCATTTCTTTAAACATAATTTAAAAGCAGTGTAAGGGAAGTAATCAAAACGTTGTATGTGGATTACCTCCCTCCCATTGTTCATAAACCATTACTTTATACATAATTTAAAAGCAGTGTAAGGGAGGTAATTAAAATGATGTATTTGATTTATCTCCCTTACACTGATTTAAATTATGTTTTGAACTGAAGTATTTGTCCATATAAAAATGCTTGTTTTTTGCCCCTTTTTTGGCCCCTAATTCCTAAGATTTTGAGGCAATTACCCCTAAAATCAATCCCAGCATTCCCTTTGTGATATGGAACCTTGTGGTACAATGTCAGAGAGATCCATACACTAACACACAAGTTATGTCTGGAAGTTACAAAAATACTTATTTTTGGCCCCTTTTTGGCCCCTCATTTCTTAACTGTTGGTACCATAACCCCCAAAATCAATCCCCACCTTCCTTATGTGGTATTGAACATTATGGTAAAATTTCATAGAGATCCATTCACTTAAACTTAAAGTTAGAGTGCGAAAACCAACGTGTCTTCGGACGACCACGCCGCCGACAACGTCATACCAATATACAATCGCAAAATTTTTTTGCGGTCGTATAAAAATGACACATAAAGATTGAAATTTTCAGGATGAAAATAGCGTGGGGATGATGTGGAAAAAAGTATATGATTCATAAAATTTCTTATAACTGTTGATTGAAAAGAGATATGCCAGTTCGGTTTGTTGTAAAATCATATTTATAGGTTATTGTTTGGATTTGCCTACTTTTTATTGTCACTTTTTAAAATAAAAAGTGGAATATAAATCTCTTTCTCATTACAACCGGAACCCAAATGCACGGCTCAAATAAATTATACTGTTCCTATAAAATTACCTACTCCTTTTTATGTGTACAATATTTTCATTATAATCAGGGTTAATTTTGCTTAGTAATGGTCTTCTGGTGGCATTAGCATATGACTTTTGTGAAAATATGTACACTAGGTTCCATAACTAGAACTACAAAAGTAGGCCCGTTCACAGCCATATTGAAATTTTGGTGTAAAGACGAAGTTCACAAAAGTTCAAAACAATGTGGCTATATCTTTATGAGACCCGGGTAACTTTTGTTATATGAATTAATTATGAACTGAAATTGTAAACATTGTTTTTATTGCACACTTTTTTTTTGTTTTTGTCAGGATTAATTATGATCTGTTAACCTTTGACACGTTGTTTTCTTAGCGGTCAAGTAAAGCGCCGGCATTTCGACTATATCTGGTTTATTTTCAACAATAATATATTGACTACTTATTAATAATTTTTCGTAAACAATATTTATTTTTTGCATTTAAACTAATTAATTTAATAATTATTTTTTTATTTCAAATCCACCAATTTTAACAGTATTATATATATATATGCTGACTTGTTTGCCGAAATCTATTGTTTACATTCATGTACCGAATGCTAATTTACTACGTGACACCATAAGCTGTCAATCAAAACAAAAAATCAATAATCCGCTATCGGGGCAATGAAATCTCAACAGATCTATCAGTTTCCAGTCCCATTAGTATAATCAGTCAGAGGACTTATTGAAATAAGTGATTTTTAAATCACTTATTAAAGTAGCAAATTCGATGTTTTGTCACAAATTGTGATCTTGTAGTTTTACCAAAATTTTAAACACATAGGTTTAGATAATATCTTTTCATTAGTAAAATTGAAAAAAAATGAACTTTTTGCTTCTTTAAAGCAGCAATGTTTATGCCTTTGATGCAATCATTTAGCTGCAAATTCTATTTTAGTTGAAAAAATGCTATAAAAATGGCTTTACAAAATGAACTGATACTTTCTTAACAGATTTTTCCCAGCAGTGGGAGTATTTTTCCTGTCAAATTCAAGGTTTCATCTTAAAGATTATGTAATAAAATTCTACTGTTCGCGATCAAAATTTCACTGTTCAGGGGTGTTAAAATTAGTGGGGGTTATTAACATAATGATTCTTAAAGAAGTGATTTTTTGGAAGGAAATTGAGGTATGATACTTAAACAAGTGATTTTTATGTCATTATCCTAGATTTAGTAAAAGGTCATCACCTGACATGACCCGGTCATCCTATCAACACAGATGTTGGTTCTGATAATTTTAGCAACATAATTAGTCCCTGGATCATTAGTATTCTATATTTAAAGCTACAATAAAATTAAATCACTTAGTCTAGTGATTAATTTGTACTACTTAAATAGGTGATTATTAAAGAAAGACAACTCTTACTTCCAACCTTTATGGAGGTAATGTTACTTGAATCAGTGATTTAGAACATCACTAATTTAAGTAAGTCCCCTGACTGATAATAGTCCCAGCATGTATAGCAACTGCTTCGAATAATTTTTTTAAAATGTATATTAAAATATCACAGTATTAGTTACTACGAAGTACTCATACAGTTAAAGATGATATTGGTGTGTTTTATTAACTATAAACATTACTGGCCGGTATGGTAAACTCAAGGAGAGTTGAGAACGTAACTTCGTAAGCCGGCAAGGATGTTAGATTCTTCGCTATATAGCGCAGGGTTTCCTCTGATGCAGTTCACACAAAAAAGGCAATGCGTCATCAAATTGATGACTTACTTACCTGTTTATTTTTCTGCACAGCAAATGAATTCTGAATAAGGCTCAAACAGAAAACTGTCAGAAAAACTTTCAACAGCGTCCACATCGCTGCCATATTGCACATCAATACTTCCTTCTTCGTAACATTGAACGTAAAGTCTCGATGCGTCCAAACGTGAATACGTGTTTGTTAAAACGTCACTGATTGGATAAATAACATTTTACGGCAGCTCGGAGCACCTCCACTCGCACCACCTCAAAGTAGTGCTCAAAGTAGAGGGCAAGATTGTAGTTCTAACATTTATTTGTTTTTGCCATTAAGAAAAAAAAATGATTAAAAAAAAACTAAAAGTTTTTCAAGTTTTATGCCTCAAATTTATTCAACAAATTATAAATTTTGGTTTAAACGGACATACCAGAAGTTACCATAAACTTGATAAATGTCGGTCTAGAAAGCTAGGGTTTACTGTTTACACAATAAATGAGGGTCTGGATGGGGATAGGGTTTACATAATAGAGAAATAATGTGCAAAATGGGCAGAATAAATTGCAAAAAAATAAGAAATATAGAAATAAAGGGCAAACAAATAAATAATAATAATAATAATAATAATAATAATAATAATAATAATAATAATAATAATAATAATAATAATAATAATGACTTTATTTAAAGAGGGTGACTCAATTAGCATTCACTAATCTACCTTGAGGCCCTCACAAAAAAATAGAGAATAACAGTGACGGATCCAGGGGGGAGGGGGGGGGGGGGGTTCGGGGGTTTCGAACCCCCCTTTTTGACGATTAATGCTTTTGAATGGGGACATATGCATATGGTTGGAACCCCCTTTAAAATATGGCTGGATTCGCCACTGAATAATGGGGTGTTAAAATATAAAGACTAGAGAATAATGGGCAAAATATATAAAGAAAAATGACCTACAAAATTAAAGAATACAGAAATGGAGACCAGACCCTCATATGTAGAGAATGCGTAAAAAGTGCAAAAAGGGCAAGAAAAACATGAGAATAAGGAAAACTGAAATAAAGAAAAGAGAATAATGGGATGTTGAAATATATAGAATAGAGAACAATGGGCAAAATATAGATACTTGACCAAAAGTTATAGTGCGGTTTTATCTGACTGCTTTTTAGCTCACCTGGCCAAATGAGCAAAGTGAGCTTTTCTCATCACTTGGCGTCCGTTGTCTGTCGTCGTCCGTTAACTTTTACAAAAATCTTCTACTCTGAAACTACTGGGCCAAATTTAACCAAACTTGGCCACAATCATCATTGGGGTATCCAGTTTTAAAAATGTGTCCGATGACCCTGCCTGCCAACCAATATGGCAAACATGGCTAAAAATAGAACATAGGGGCAAAATGCAAGTTTTGTCTTTTATTTTGAAAACCGTTATGAATGAAGAAAATCTGACAGAATCAAAAATGTTCAGAATGTTGAGCTCTACCAGTTGTCCGTATACGTCTGAACTGTCAGACGACTTTTTATAGGAGTTATTGCCCTTAAATGGCAAATTTTACCATTTTTATTCATGTTTGCCTATTATCTTGAATACTATAATAGATAGAGAGAAACTCTACCATGCAAAAATTATCAGCAAGACAAGTTCTACAAATAAGTTTGATGGTCGAAATCGTCAGTCGACTTCTTATTAGAGTTATTGCCCTTTGATGATGATTTTAACCATTTTTATTGCGTTTTCGCCTTATATCTTAAAAATTATAATAGATAGATAGAAACTTAGAAAAGCAAACATGATCAACAAGACTAGATCTACAATTAAGAGCACATGGAAGAAAACGTCCGACGACTCCTTATTGGAGTTATTACCCTTTAAGGACGATTTTTACCATTTTTTTTTTTTGCGTTTTGCCTTATATGATAATACTATAGATAAATAGACACTTTAAATCACAAAAATGATCAGCAAGGCAAGATCTACTAACAAGTCAAATTTTGCCGATATAGTTAGTAGACTGTCACTCTTTATAGGAGTGATTGCTCTTAAATGAGGATTATTTTACCCTTCTTTGTGTTTTGAGCAAAAACTAAAGAAGATAGAGAGAAACTAAACAGATTAAATGATCAGCAATACAAGATCAACAAAACAGAGATTTTTGTCATGAAGTTATATTATCAAATTTGTTTTTTATTCAAATTAGTTTTATATGAAGTTTTATGTCAGATTAATTGGTGCATTATCATTTTTTGTATGTCGAAACTATAAGCGGTTTACATGAAGGGACCCCAATGGAAACAAGCTTCAGAGCTTTATGGGTTATCCCTGATAAAATATCAGCAATTATTTTCCGTACACAAAAAGTACTGTACTCACCATATGCTCTATTTTATCAAGTATGTGTTAGTATACGTCTTTATGATTTGTATATTGTGTATTGTTAAACTTATATGCTTGATATTTTATTGAATAAAATATTATTATTATTACTATTACTATTACTAGTACTAGTACTATTACTATTACTATTACTATTACTATTATTATTATAATTATTATTATTATTATTATTATTATTATTATTATTATTATTATTATTATTATTATTATTATTATTATTATTATCATAAAGAATAGAAATATTTATTTTTAAGTAAATTTAATGATCTAAAAAATTAAAGAAGTAAAGAATAGAAGGACCACCATCCAGACCCTCAAAAATACTTTCATGCTAGACTTCGGATCAGGGTTCGCCCAAAATCACGTTCGCCCCCTTTCACGTTCGCACCCCACACGTTCGCACCCTGGGTCCGTTCGCACCCTTTTTATTGTTTTTTTTTTATGTTGAATAAAGTTTTAATCGTGTTCAAGTTAGTGTATTGCTATAAATAAGTTTTTTTATTGCTTCAAAATAAACTGACATACTAAAAACCGTAAATAGGTTTCCGTAAGTGTTTTAGTGTTTTATTAATTATTTTGACGAAAAGAATCATGTCAGAAGAAAAAAAAATGTCATGAAGATTAAGGCAAAGTTCATTAATCTAAGACCTGTAAAAGAAAGACGGAAGATACCAACTCCTCATTGAGTTTACCAAGCTAACTTCATGCAGTATTTACATCAAAGCTAGTTTCAACAACAATCATGATTTTCAAACAGAACAATAATATCAAATTTGGCTTTGTAAATACCAATGAACTGTAATCATACATAATTAACATTTAATATTAATAAATTAATAATCAAATGACCAAAAAAAAATCCATAATTTTATTAAGGAAAATTTAAATATTTTGATAAATATATCTAAAAACATCCTAAATATTCAACCAGTTTTTTTTGATAAAAATAGGGTGCGAATGAACCCAGGGGGCGAACGTGTAGGGTGCGAAAGTGTATTGGGAGCGAACGGACCAGATATAATTTTCTTCAAAGAAAATTACTTTTGAAATGATTCCTTATAGGTACAACTGTCGGGAGGAGGAGAAGGAGGACGAGTACGAATTGTGAGGATCAGATATATGCGTTTTCTTTCATATTTACCATTATAAATATCTGATAGATTGATATATTTACAAAAAAATATGGCGAAAGGACTCTACTGGCGAACGAACCCTGGACGAACAGACACGATAACGGTTGTTTGTCCCTCGGCATCTTCCATTTTTACAAGCGTAGTGCTCCATACACAAGGGAGGAAGATAGAAAACAAGTAACAAGAAGTTTTAAACCAATGAATGTACAGTTTACAAAACGCACCTGGGCTGCTGAAACTGAGAAGCTGAAGTTGATAAACTTTTCCAGCTCTGTAATCCTTTGTCAATTATGGTTAATTAATTTACTGTTTTTTTTTTTATTTGTGTAGACGTATACGCCTGAAATCTGAAACGCAACATTAAAGCCAAAGGGAGATAACTCAATATTTCAGTAAAATGAGTTCGGTACTTGTGACAGTGACATCCATGATTTAGATTTACTGGTTTAGGCAAAAAAAAAACAATAATGAATTAAAAAAAGCGACCAACTATACCTTCTCATTTACAGTCTCCTGATTTTTTGGGACAGGCACTTAAAGTTAAACATGTCAATGAGCTAAAGACCCTGATCTCTCTTACTGTGGATAATGGTGTAACACTAACAGCACAACATAAGAACAAACTGTAATACATTGTAACTAGTTCGAAATGGTTTTTCTCATCTAATTAGCATGAAGCACCCCAAAAAGCCTAACCTAAGTACAGTAACACAAAATATTCGTCTTTTCCCAGACTAAAATATATCAATCAGTACACATCCAATGGATTAAGAGTAAAGACATGTATCCTAAACCATTTGCGAAAAGCATAACCTTGTGGAATGCCAAAATATAAGTATCGACAGGATTAAGGACATTCATCAATGTTCATATAGTGTTTCTAACTATAGCAATACACATTAATTATGTTTTATAAAAAAACTAAATTAATGTTGGTACCTGAATAAATACAATATTAAAAAAATCTTAATCCTACAGTGTTACAATACCACCTGTCAGGAGATTATCATCTGAATTAGATCGAATTTGTTGTATGCTGTTGTGACTGCAAACTTTGTTTACTTTTGTTACACATTGATGATTCCAGCAGATTAGTTTTATTATCCTGTTTTTATTATTCAAAATTTTCTTTTCAAAGGTAACCTCAAAATGAAGTAAAGATGGGTAGAGGTAGTAGTAGGACAACAAATGACAACAGTAACCATGGCGACAGGGAGGAAGACCTGTTAGATGATAGACCACAACCTGTAGGAATCTACGGATGGAGAAAGAGATGCCTCTATGGATTTATATTACTGCTGATTATCTTGACTGTATTAAATCTTGCATTGCTAGTTTGGATGCTGAGAGTACTCAATTTCAATTGGGTATGGTACATGTATATTGCTGTAGTTATAGTTGACATCACAAATGATCTTAGTAATTCAGCCTGTGTATATTGGATACTTGTATAATCCAAATCAAATCATTAGTCTGAAGCAAGGCTTCCAAAACGGTCATATATTCCAGACATTTGTATAATGTCCGGTAAAAGTCCGGCTGGGCAAAGCACGAAACGGTCATCTACTTTTTATTTTTCAAGGCTTTCTTAAGAGACGGTCATTTTAATATAATTCATGATCTTTTTGACCCAACCTTTTGCCTTTAACAGCCACACATTTCCGGTCATAAAAGTACTATCAAAACAACCCCTACTTTAATACCTTCTAATTTTAATCAAGGCTAATTAGTTGTCGAACAGCTGAAATTTACCTATTCAGGTGACAGGTAAACTATTTTGAACCGGACATTGATCGGTCTATTCAAAGTTATTTTCTTACATTTCACCGGTTTGCATCTAATTAATTTAGTCAAAAAGATTTAAATTATCAGAAATACATTTACAAATAAGATTTGATGAAAAAATTAAAGAGGTGAAAATGAAAATTCGTCATAACCACGTTGTTTGAACCAGAGACATGTCTCTGTTTGAACTAGTACACGTGTGCGCATGTGCATAGGTGTGAAATTTAATTATGCATCCTAATTTCTTAAAATATTGCTTAAATTGTCATTGATACCTTTATCTCACGTTTATTTCGAATATTTTCTTGAAGAAATAACGTAGAATGAGCTACTTACACTCATTCATGCTTTGCAAACGTACACAGAATTTACGTATCCGTCTCTGGTCCATGTTTTACCATTGTCAAGATAACATCCGGTTTCAGATTTAAAACGAAAGTAAAGTTTTTGACAACGTTATTTTGCACAAATAAAGAGTCTAAGGCAGATATAAGTACGCTGATGTTGCACACTTCCGATGATGCACTGCCAAATTAACACTTTACGTCAGAACTTCGAATTTGAATCAAAGTTTAATATCGTTTTTTTTAAATATCAATCATTGGGATGGCCAACTCAGCAACTGTTTACTATAATTGCCTTTTGTTTATTTAGTCTTAAAGGATTAAAATCGGGATAATATGTAAAATGTCCGGCTGGCTAAAAATAATTTTGGAAGCCCTGGTCTGAAGTCCGATTAATACAAGTCTCATTGTACAAGTCATGCAAGTATTGTATATGAAAAAAGGAGATGCTGGGTATACGTCAATGAGACAGCCACCATCAATACACAAACATTAAAATGACATCAAGATAAACATACAGTCTTCAACAATAGACAAATGTCTATACAGTATGTCACACTCTAAATCATAGTGAGTCTAGAAAATTTGTTAATAGATTTAACAGACTGAAAGATCTGCCTCAAAACCTAAAATGGCAAAATCAAAAATATGATGTAATGAAAGAATACCAATCACATGGTTAGTTACTTGGAACAGGCAAATGAACATGTTGCAAAGTTTATCATTTAAAGAATGTATATGACTACAAACATGACATAAGTATGCATATTAATATTTTACATGTTTAACTAGATAAAACAAAAAATATTCTTCTCTACTTTTGACTTAAGGTGAAATGTCTTTTTTCCCTTAATTTTTCCGATTATATATAATATGAACTACTCTCTTTGATAATATTTCAGATTTTGAAATAAATGAATCAATCTGAAAATAAACTTACAGAAAAAAATGATGATTTCTAGATTAATGTGCATTTCAGGATGGGGTAGAGAATGTCAAGTATACTGAGGATGGTATGAGAATAGAAGGACAGGTAGAATTCCTAGATTCTTTATATACAGAAAAGATTCAGTCACTTCAGGTAATCAATTGTCATAAAGGTTCTGGCCAACAAGTATTCAGTGAAAAGCTCATCAGAGTTTATGTTCAAACATTTGTCAATATGTCGAATAAATTTGTACTTACTTTCTAAATTGCAGAGAGAAATACATAGCAGGCATTAACCCTTAGACTGCTACGCGCGACTATTGTCGTTCCGATAAAGCAGTCCGCTACTGCTACGCGCGACTATTGTCTTTTCCGTATCTCATTTGTTTACACAGTTACCATGGAATGTTGGAGTCAATATTCATGAGATTGCGGCAGTTTAGACTTGTATGGATTCTGATTGGTTAAAATTTGGCGTACTTTACAGTTTCTCTTGACTTCAAATCAGGTATAAGCGATGAAACCGAAAGAGAAAAATTTAGATGAAAAAAGTAACAAAATGGCGGAAATTGTTTGGAGTGATGGCCAACACGTTCAGAAGTATTTCAATGATAACGATGTAACAGCGGCGGCTAACTTAGATGATTTGGATGAGAACAGAAGATATAATAGATGGAAATAGAAATATTCTAGCAAAACTGCGAACAGAAGACTTTTAAAGCGGGAACCACGGGGATTCCCCAGACGATGTTCAAAATGGATGACATGAAACAGGATTTGCGATGTTTATCATTGTGCCTTTTAACTGTGAATCAATATTGATCACTGACATCGATAGATTCAAACATTGTTTGTCAAGATTATTTATTGACGAAAGTTATATCAATGAACTTGTTGTTAAAACATATTTGTACATGGAAGTAAAAGTCGGAAGGAAAATACGGGAAAATAGTTGCATAAAAAAAACGTTGGTCCGAGAAGGACCTTTTTTCTTTTGATAATCGCAATGGAACTAGTTCTTAAAAGAGATTTTTAACAATATTGGTTCAATTCTGAAGTCATGGATACTTTTGAAAAGTTTTTACATTGATGGATTTGTGTTAATAAAACATGAAAAAAATTAGTTTACCTTTGTTTACCTCTATTTGCACCTGTACAGGTAATAAATAACCAGAGACTCACACAAAAATAAAATTAAAAAAAAATACAGAATATAACAATACTTTTTTATATAACTTTTATTGATGAATATTCAATATTTACAAAGATATTGCAATTATAAGTAAACATGTTTATTTCATCAGTGATTAAAATTTTATTCAGCAATACACAAAAGTACAATAGAAATGAATGCAGCAGTCTAAGGGTTAAAATGATTTTATTGTTTGTTTGACCTCTATTATTCTTCTCTCCTGATTTTGTAAGGACACAATTACCACCTCCTGCTGTAGAATTTTAATACTGTACATAACAATAAAAGAGATCAGTACATTATTTATAAATTTTAACCAAAGGACTAAAATTTTTTAAAAAGTAAAAAATTGAATTCAATTATTATCTCACCAATTAACCCTTATAAACCAAATCTGCTGAATAACTACAGGCAAAAGAAAATGTCCAGACACTAGTAGAGTAACACAATACACCCTGGAACCACCTCTGTAGTTTTGTTGTAGTGTGCTCACTTCAAGTGCAGGAGGTCTTTGGTACCATCCCTGGCCTGGTCAAAACCAAAGTTTTGAACATGTGTATTTGCTGCTCTCTGCTAAGCTTGCATCATTTAAGAGTTAGAGCAAAGACTTTTTGGCTCTGGAGTTAAAATATTGTGTCCGGTACCGTAGGATAGCATGTCTTCCTGCAGACAAACTTAGTGAAATAGTAGGTTAAAATCAAGCCCAATGTGTCAGTCTTGTACAATGCAGGGTTCATATTCATATAACATTAAAAAGTTATTGTCCTGATATGCATGTGCTATATGCCACTGGACATAAAACACCAATTCATCATCTATATACTCTGGCCACATTGATCATTTTGATAATATTGAAAACAATTTTAAAGAAACTATTTTATTATTTATGTAGTCTTATGATATCAGCTCCTCTACCTATCAATGCTGAAAATATTGGTTTAGCTAGAGAAATTTACTTTAAAAGAAAAGTCATTTTCTAACATTTGGATCTTATCCATTTTTATTTTTGCATGATGATGAAATATATTTGATTTGTACTAGTACGACCGTGCAAGGGCTGTATAGCCAGTCAAGGTCGTTAAAAACTTCCATTTGTTGATTTGTACTAGAGATGGAAAAAATGAATCTGTGCTGAAAAAGTTGGTGGTAAATTTCAACAGTTGAAATGGTTGATATATAGATGTAAGAACATTTTAATCAGCCAAGTGTTACAACAAATTCTGACAACCGCCAAAAGGTTAATTTTAATACATTCGTTCTATTTGTTTTTTCCTCAGAGTAAACCATTGAAGATTGATTCTAGTCGAGGGGTACATATAAGAGCCAGAAATGAAGATAACAATATCACAAATAACTTTGTTATAGGTGAGATACATGTTTAATATTTGAGAAGTTGTTTATTAACACATTATTAAACAAGAATTCTAAAAATTACGAAATAATCTTGAAATACAAAGAAGACATGTATGCAGGAGATAAATTGTTGTCAGATAAATCATCAATTATCTTTCTGTTATCTTGTGTTTAATAGTAAAAAAAAAGGTGTATCTTTGATATCAATTTTCTCAGTTACAGATTTTTTCCTCAATAAAGCAAGGTTTTTTTCCCAATTTGACTGACACTTCTCCTGTTTGAATTACCATTAATTTTCCATGCATTTTAAAGATAAACAAATGTCTTGTCTCTTGATAACATCATCATAGGGATTTACAATTCAGCAATAATTAATTGCATATTTACCTTCAAAAGCTTCAAAAGATCTATGAAGTGTTATCAAATGTCTGTATATCAGATACTTGTTTAAGTTAATAAACTTTTGAATTTCTGATGAAAACTGACCACAAATTCGTATTTTACAATGGGTGTGTACTCAAAGCGTTTGAAGAACGTTATATTAGAATTGGAGTTATATCCTTTTTAAGGTCAGTTAGTAACTGGCTTTGACTTCTTTTTGTGATTACTTTATCCAGTTATGTGAAAAGACAAACAATCATTTAAAGTAATTTTTTTTAAAGTAACTGTTTTCAGTTTCCGCCCTGAGTAGTCAATTTAATCATGAACAAAATCTGACACTTGAAATTTTAACAATGTTTAACTTTGACATTACTGCAACCCTGTCCAGATTATAAAGACATGTCCTTAATAATAAAGGAACATGATAGTTTTATTTGGTCAGAACTAATTAGTTGGTATTTATTTAAACTAAAACAACACTCAAAAATATATTTCTGTCATAGAAAATTGGTTAAGATATTACTGTAAATTCAGAAATCATTGCGAGGTTTTTATTAATGCGAATAATGCGACTGGGTGAGTATTGCAATAATAAGAACTCGCATTTTGATAACTGAAACATAGACCTGTATGCAGATGTTTTCGAAATCGCAATAATCAAACTCGCATTTTTGTCCATATTTGAAAAATCACAATAATAAATGCACACAATGATTTCTGAATTTACAGTAATTAGATATGGTAAATTTCAATAATAGGTAATTTAATCAAATGATTTCTGTCTTATATATCAGTTTAAACATATTTTATTTACTCAAAAGTAAAATGGATTGGACACAAGTAAACCATACTTAAGTCCGCTACGAAAAACATTAAATAACAATACAATATTAATATGAGCATGCAATAATTCACAATATACAATACTTTGCGAGTCTATCCATTGAAAAAGAAATGAAACAATAATAACGGAAAAAATTGGTAAGTAGTAAGGGATACTCTACAAAAAGGAACAATGATATCATTGCCATTTCTCAAGGGATATACAGTTGTGCTCTGTACACTGGGTGGAACAAGATTGCATAGATAATCCGGAGCTTGTTTATATTGAATGTTATAAAACATTTGTAATTTTCGTCTTTTCCTCCTGTCACCTAAAGTTTCCCTCCCAACTTCCTCATACAGACTTTCAGTTTTTGTAAATATAGGCAAACCAGTAACCATTCGAGCAGCTTCTAGCTGTAGACTTTCAAGTTTATTAGCATATCCTATCCCACAATTATCCCAAACCTCAGTTGCATATTCAAAAATTGGTCTTATAAATACTAAATAGAGTTTTTCTAAATTTTTCCTACAAAGTTGGTACTTGAGTTTTCTCAGTATATTTAAATGTTTAGATATCAAATACTAAACCATGTCATAACTATTTTTAGCAAACAAGACAGTATCATCACAATGTGAGTTATTTGAGATCAAGAACAGTAAGGGTCAGACAAAACTTAGTGTGTCCAATAGTGGGGTTCACTTTGGTAACATGGATGTCACATTTACAGGTATGGACACATTGAAAACATTCAAATATTATCTTTAAAGCTTTTATATAAGATTAACAATTATTGAGGAAAAAAATTCATCTGAAATTGGCAAAGTTCATATTTACTGTGTTGATATTATAAATTTTGTTGCAGAAGTGGTGTTAAACAAGAAATGATTTTAGAGTCCAAGGTCATTCTCATGCTAAAAATTTTTAATGACAACTTGAAATTTAATTTTGTTTGCACACACATTATGCAAGTGTAAAATTTAAAGCTGTGTTATAAAATGTATAGTAGCCATTCACAACAGGGATGCACTAACATTGATAATTTCTTTTTCTAGTAAATTGCTGGATTTTTTTTTCACAAATTGACACAATAGAAGAAATCAAGTAATTATTTACAAATTCCTAACCGTTGATGATTATACCATATTTATTTGATTTTATTGTCGAGCCTTCGACTTTTGGCGAAAAAGCGAGACATAGCGATCCTACATTCCGTCGTCGTTGGCGGCGTCCACAAATATTCACTCTGTGGTTAAAGTTTTTGAAATTTTAATAACTTTCTTAAACTATCCTGGATTTCTACCAAACTTGGACAGAAGCTTGTTTATGATCATAAGATAGTATCCAGCAGTTAATTTTGTAAAAAAAAATTCCTGTTTTTCCGTATTTTATTTATAAATGGACTTAGTTTTTCTGCCAGGAAACATTACATTCACTCTGTGGTTAAAGTTTTTAAAATTTTAATAACTTTCTCAAACTATCCTGGATTTGTACCAAACTTGGCCAGATGCTTGTTTATGATCATAAGATGGTATCCAGAAGTAAATTTAAAAAAAAAAAAATTCCTGTTTTTCCGTATTTTACTTATAAATGGACTTAGTTTTTCTGCCAGGAAACATTACATTCACTTTGTGGTTAAAGTTTTTAAAATTTTAATAACTTTCTAAAACTATCCTGGATTTGTACCAAACGTGGACAGAAGCTTGTTTATGATCAAAAGCTAGTATCTAGAAGGAAATTTTTATTAAAATTTTGTATTTGTTTATCCATATTTTACTTATAAATGGACTTAGTTTTTCTTCCAGTTAACATTACATACAAACTGTTTGAAAATTGAGTTGTTATAAGAACCCTACAAAACAGACCAAAATTCATCTTTTATTTCATATTTGAATTTTCCAAAATCAATCCAAGTCTTTACTTATACATGTATATTTGCACTTGCATAAGGTCGATTTCTATCCAATGCAGCTCATATATTAAAAAAACTTTAATGTTTGAATGAGGAAATTAAGATGTATGGAGCAGATTCAAGTTCATATTTTTGGAGTTGATGTATCAGAGCAGAAATTTGAAATATATGAATGCACAATTATCCTCCTTTGATTTCCTCTACCTGCAGTATTCAACGTATTTCTTCCTAATACTATTTTACACCTTTCCATTTTATTTCTGCATGTCTTATGTATGAAAACTATAACTTTTTTGAAAAATGTTATTGAAATGTCAATTTTTTGTATCTAGTTAATCATTTTTTTTTTTTTTTTTACTTTATTAAAGGAGATATTACATGAAAACAGATAGTCTTGCATTCACACTTTTAATGATTTTCCTTCTGTTTGTTTTTTTAGGTTCATCTAAAGTAAACTTTACAGGATCTATAGCCACACCTAATGTAAGAGGACCTGTGTCTGAACCATTGAGGTAACTTATATATATATAAAAGTTGGAAAACATTCATTTCACTCTTTTCTATATTACTTACCCAGTATAGAGATTTATCTTACCTCCTATACATTTCTAGGAATATGATTGGTTAAAAGCATCCACGTGGAGACCGTGTATATTCCATATTAGGTTAGTAGGGAGGCGGGGCTTATTTCAATACATGGTTAGTAGTGGAGTTATGACTTTGGCACTATTTGCTTATTTGAATGTATTGAAAGTGATGTTTAATATTATTATATCAAGGTTGTTGATATTAAATTGTTATTGTTGACATTAATTTTTTTTGTGCAGACCAATGGAAGTAGGTTCTTAAAATTGAACACTTGAACACTTTAATATAAACATAAAAAGATGTGGTATGATTGCAAATGACACAACTCTAGTCTAAATTGAACAAATAAAGATAGTCGGTAAGATAAATTCGTTACATAGTGTGCTAGTGACCTAATACGATATATACGGGGTCATTAAATTCCATATGGGGTGAGAGCTAATATGATATATACGGGGTCAGTAAATTCCATATGGGGTGAGAGCTCTCACCCCATATGGAATTTAATGACCCCGTATATATCGTATTAGGTCACTAACACACTATGTAACTAATATTACAGGAAAAGAAAGGTAAATAAAAATTGGATTATGAAATAGTTATATGACAAAATTCTGATGATAACAGGAAGTAAAGTAGTTTCACCAGGCAATTTATCAGACTAAGTTAGTTTATGTTGAGGTTCCAGACCTTACATTTCAGAATTACCCCATTTTTGATAATCTGGAAAACAGGTAAGGACACCTGCCAAGTAAATGGCAATATTTCCCCTAGAAATTTACAATAAAGGCAATTAAAAAAAGAAAAAAATGACAGTTCATTAAAACATTAAAATGGACATGCTTTTATATGTAACAAGAAGGTGTCTCTTAAATACTTAGGATACACATTCAGAATTGGTTTATATAGGGGAATATGTAACCGATTGAGGTAAAAGGTATTGCAGGAGGTTTAAATTCTAGAAATTAACAAAGATATCATTTTTGTCATTGACTAGTATCTCTGTTGGATATTTTGTTTTTTAAGTGGCAAGTAATGTTTGAAAAACTAATATTAGAATTTGAAAACTTGCATTCAAATTTATTTATTCCTCAGACTTATCTAAATATTTATAACTTTTCCTGTCAGTAAGAGATGGAAAACATACCACTGATAAAAGATTGCTTGATGTTACATGTAGCATGATGTAATTGTATGTTATATTTGTTTATATTTATATTTGTAGAATAGAGAACAATGAGGGCTGTTCTAGAATTGAATGCATGATGGGGCATGGGAGACACATTTTTTAGACCCTGACTGAACATTCTAAATATAAAAATTTAGAAACATATATTTTTGTGCTTGCTTATTTCTACAAAGTTGAGGTTAAGAGAATGATTTGATAACTGACTTATGTCTGTTTATAGAGTAGAAGCCTTAAGTACTCAGCTGAGAGTAGTGGGTGACCAAGGAGTATATGTGACAGCTCCAGCTGGTAAAATACTCATTAAGAGTGCTAACCAACTCAGCTTGATTGCCAGTAAAAATGTAAGTAATATGGACATATATGCAAGAATTTATGTTAGGTTGCATTATTTTATACAGCTCTCGTAAATCGTGTAAATAAATGGCTTGAGAGAACTTTTTGCTATAAAGTATTGTTCTAATACTATTACAGTATATCCCTGCATCTTTTAGTCCATGTGATTAATATCAACTCATTTAATTATAATAAAAAAACAAGAAATCAATGGTTCGTTGATGAATTTCTTTCTTCAGTATAGGTATTGGGTTCATAAATTTGACCATTGCACATACAGAGGCATATTCTATAAGTCAAATTATGGTGCCCTGATCAGAGCAGTATAATGATTCAGACGTAGATAAATAAATAAGCAAAACATGATGTTTATAATCGACTGTTGGCTGTTGCCAGATTGCATGGTAAAAACAAAAGATAATTTGATTGCTGAGCAGCGAGTGAAGGTAGACAATTCCTACGTACTCTATGATAACATTTTCTCTGAGTTCATGACTGATTTATAAATACAGTGCTTTAAGTATTTAGTTTTTATTTTTTATTGTGAATGGCAGTAGATGTTTTTCTCAAAATAACAGGACTCATTATTTCTTTCCATTTAATGTCAACAACAGCCAAAGAAAGTTTAAGATGAAAAAATCATTAAATGCAAAGGTTCTAATAATGCTAGCTTCCTCCACCAATAAAAACTGGCCACCACGAAATAGCCCAAATGTGGCGCTTAAAAGTGGCGTTAAAACACCAACAATCAATCAATCAACAATCAATCTAATTATGCTAAGGAAAAAAATCTTTACAATAAAGGTCAGTACTATACTCTTCATCAGAGCTCTACCATTATTTTACATTACTTATGTTTTTGTATTTGTAGATGTACTTGCAGGCAAAAGACTATTATATCAAGAAGCCAAGAGTAAGCAGTCCACAGAGTGGGAGTCCATACACTGGTACTGTTTATGAGTTATGTATTTGTGAGACTGGTAGATTGTTTTTATCCCAACCTAACTCTGATTGTAAAGCAACTGATACCATCTGTCAGTAATAGATGAAATATTTCACACTGAAATTGTTTTGTCGCACAGAAAGACATTTTATTATTGATATTTGGTAAATAATTGTATGAGTTCAGTCTTCTTGAATGTGAATATGAAGAAAAATGACAATCATTTTACTATCAAATTTGTTTTAGGAGACTAAGAAAGGAGGGCATTTTTTTGTTATCTCCTTATACTACATGGTCTATGAAATTTGAATGACGATTACAGATAAGGAGGTATATTCTATTTTTAGGACATTCAACATTAACAATGAATGGATTTTGGGGTTCATGAATGTTAAGAAACCACATTCTCTGATTTGCTATTAGAATTTGATAGATTGTGCATGTTAGAAGAAGTGTCTACAAACCTGAAGAATAACCCTGTCAGATTTACACCAATCAATTTACATTTTAATATATTTTATTTTAATTAGAAAGAACTAAGTTCCTTTGAATAATTCAGAAATCCATAATGAGACAACACAAATATGACTGTCCAACAGACCCATGTATCAAATGAAAGTATTTTTAATTTTATATATTTATTCGTAAAGTGATATGAATATTTATAGGTTTTAATTATTAGTTACCTCACTATCTAGTTAATGTACAATACTTGGCAACACACACACTTGATATTGCTGTAAAATTTAAACGGCAAGTGGAAGTTGAAAGTATAAAAAGTAGTTCAATTTTTATCACAAACTTTGTATTTTATATGTAATGATATTTAAGAAATATCTGACTTATGTCACAATCATAACTAATATTAACTTTTCCCACGTGTATATATATATATATATATATATATATAATCAAAAGGTTTTATCTACATAATTTTTTTATTTTTATCTATTAATTTCTGCATTTTCAAAAAAAAATAGTGAATGTTTTCTTGAAATGAGTAAAGTATAAGTCAGTGACATATTTTTTTAAAAATTTTATATTTATTTATGTATTCATAAATTATGATTATTCTTATTCCGTCCAAGGAAGATAGGTTGTATTTTTAGTGATGTTAAATCATATATTATGTAGTTTTTGTTTTTAAAGACTATGAGTTAATTGTGAATTTTTTATTTTTAACAGTTGAATATATATATAAAATTCTACATATCTATGGAAGAAAATATTTACAGATTAAACATACTTTTTTGCTGAATTTATTATAAATCTATTAGAGTTATATTTCATTGCTTTCAAAGTTACATACTGTAAATTCAGAAATTATTGCGAGTTTTTAGTATGGCAATAATAAGAACTCGCATTCAGATAACTGATACATACATCAGTAAGCAGATTTTCCGGAAATCCCAATAATTAGTCTAGCATTATTGTCCATTCTTCAAAAATTGCAATAATAAATGCACGCAATAACTTTGGAATTTACAGTACATATATATAAGATAGAATTAAATTACCTATATCTGGCATTATATTTTTTGAAGATCATAGAACATTTATTTTTGTACAGATATACAGTACTTTAGCTATAATTTATTATTTTGCTAGGAACTCATTTATGTAAACTTGTATAATTTTATACAAATACATCACTGTTATTAGTTGTTCCATATCGGTCATGCAGGAAATGATTAGGAAACAAAATTTATTTAGGTATAATAAATTATATATTTTAGAATGCACGGTGCTGATTTGTCTAATTAAATAATGTATATTATTAAATATGAAAATGTATCAAAAATTGTTTAATGTATGCTACATATCAAAGATAATTATTTGCCTTTCATATATAAGCATTATCGAAAAAAATATCTGGATTGCTGTGTTTCAAATTTGCCTTGAAAAATGAAAGGTACAGGAGAATTGTGATGAGGCTACATTTTTGGCCCCTTGTATTCGAAAGTCAAAAAATTTATAAATCCTTCAGCTATTCATATGACATTGGTCTTTTAAACACCAGTTTTTGTACTTTTAAAATCTGACTAACATATTGGCATCAGGGCTTCAAACTTCTTACAGTTACTGCCAAAATAGTCTCATTGTGAGATCTTGTCATTAATGTTTAGATATGAGCAAGAGCTTTAACCAAAAAGATAATTTGCAACAAAATAAGTTTTACAAAGATGTTACTGTGTGTTAAATATCTTTTTGGTTAGAGCTGTTGCTCATTTGTTTTGTTTTTTACCAAATTTATTTATTTGACCTATATTATATAATAAAATGGCAATTTTAGGTCAAATAAATAAATTTCTATATGTTAATGATATTGTAGTGATATCACAAGTGACCTTTCTGCACTAAAGTTGCATGATGAAAGCAACTAGTTCATTAATCAATAAAATTAACACATTTTTGAAGACTTGAATAAGTTAACTACTTAAAGCAATTTCGGGGCCAAATAATGGCCCTTATCATAACCTTCTCCTTTTCAAATGAAAGGTCCTACAGAAGAGGGTCATACATCCTGTATAGAGAATGGCAGGTCCTTGACTTCCATTATTTAAAAGTCAATGGTCCCCTCAATCAAAGAAAAAGCAGGTTTTGCACCTCAGACCCATATCAATTTGAACCCCCTATACTAGCATTCCCCTAAGCTACCTACTAACATAACTGTTTATATGTATGTACTTATGGGCTGGAGCTTTACCTTCCATTCTTGTTGTAACCATAGATATTGTACCACTTTAAAGGCATTGCCGTGCAGTTTGAGGTTCAGAAGGGTGATAAAGATTAGTTTAATATGTATGTGTACATTTTACTAAAATATTAATGACCTCACAATATAGTACATGATATATGGTAAGAACGTTTTAAACCAAAAGGAAATTTCAAAAGTTGATAACATGCGTGCATTCATTTTGAAAATATAACAAATTCTAAATTTCACAGAATTGATAGTTATTACTAAAATACATTTTTGGCAAAAAATGCTGTACTTCCCCTGTCGGGCATAGTCCCAGAGGGCCGTAAACAAGTTTTATTTTTTTAAATTTAAATATTTGATTTTTGTTGCAAAAAATTTTTGATGAATAAATGAAGTGTTGACTTCTTCTCAAATTGTATATATTACAAACGACAATGCATTAGAACATATCATTTATATATATCCCAATGGTGCTATAAAATATTTATTGTCCCTATTTAGCATTATAGATGAATTTAATTTGTGAAATGTTGATTTATATTATATTTTATAAAATAGAAAAATAGAATAGGACTGCTAAATATCCAAATAAGAAATCTTCTATACATTTATTCTATGTTTTAGTTTTTTTTCATTATTATTTTATATTTACAAATAAAATCGGGTTATTTTCATTTTATTCAAATGTAATTAATACCAAATTGATATTATTCTTTTAGTTTACAATTGTTTATCTGCATTTTATAATAAACCTTTTCTTATAAACATGTATTGCAAATAGTTTGATTGTGATTGTCTTAGGATGGTAGTTAGGCCAAAGTAAAATATGAATATGGTTTCTATTTCAAACTAGTGAAAGATTATTTAGATAGCCAGGCAAAACAAATTTTTCTTGGAAAATTTTTAGTCCCTAAAGGAGTAGGTCCGGTAAGGGCCGATTTTGGCCTCAAAATTCAGGTTCATCTGACGAAAGATTTTGGACACTTTTTAAACACTTAAGTGTCTACTTCAGTTGATTCAATTAGTTTATGTGAAAGATTTGAACTGATTTAGTCATTAAAGACGCTCAAATTCAAGCTTAAATATGAAACATCTATCAAATATGCCATAATATGTCACTTTTCAGATGGTTTTTGTCAAAAATGAAAGTGGCCGCATCTGTGTTCATTCTCAACCTTTATATATGTTATGTATTATCACCAAATACAACTTACATTTTAATATTAAGAATGAACACAAATGCGGCCACTTCCATTTCAGACGGAAACCGTCAAAAATTAACCAAAATGCTAAAATTTCAAAGATTTCAGTAATCTAGCATGACTTAATGATGCTAGTACCCGACACTTGTGCATTTTATTGTCAAAAACAGCCCATATTTATGTAACAGAAGTAATCTTCTTTCCAATAAATAGCTAAAAATTTACATTTTAACAATTTTGTAAAACTGCTATATTTTGGGGCCAAAAAGGGGTCTTACTGGGCCTACTCCTTTTTTTAAATTCAACAATACTTAATGAAATGTTTGAGGCATAAGACAAAAATTACATTTCTACAAAGAACTGGAACAAAGTTATATTTTATTTTAGCTTAAGTAAACAATTTTAAATCAGTGATAAGTATGTTATGTGTGTTACTTGTTTTAAAGTTAACAAGATTATCAACACACATGAAAGTTTTATATGCTGTACAATAGAACTTTTACTGAATTAAAACATTAAAAATAATGATTTCCAGCATTGTTTTTTTAGCTCACCTGGCCCGAAGGGCCAAGTGAGCTTTTCTCATCACTGGCGTCCGTCGTTTGTCGTCGTCGTTAGCTTTTTACAAAAATCTTCTCCTCTGAAACCACTGGGCCAAATTTAACCAAACTTGGCCACAATCATCATTAGTGTATCTAGTTTAAAAAATGTGTCCGATGACCTCGCCAACCAACCAAGATGGCTGCCATGGCTAAAAATAGAACATAGGGGTAAAATGTAGATTTTGGCTTATATCTCTGAAACCAAAGCAGAGTAAATTTGACAAGGATAAAACTGATTATCAGATCAAGATCTATCTGCCCTGAAATTTTCAGACAAATCCGACAACCCGTTAATAGGTTGCTGCCCCTGAATTGGTAATTTTAAGGAAATTTTGCAGTTTTTATACGACCGCAAAAATTGAAAATTTTTTGGTCGTATATTGGTATGACGTTGGCGTCGTCGTCGTCTGGCGTCGTCCGGCGTCGTCCGAAGACACATTGGTTTTCGCACTCTAACTTTAGTTTAAGTGAATGGATCTCCATGAAATTTTACCATAAGGTTCAATACCACGAAAGGAAGGTTGGGATTGATTTTGGGGGTTATGATACCAACAGTTAAGGAATTAGGGGCCAAAAAGGGGCCAAAAATAAGCATTTTTGTAACTTCCAGACAATAACTTGTGTGTAAGTGTATGGATCTCTCTGACATTGTACCACAAGGTTCCATATCACAAAGGGAAGGCTGTAATTGATTTTGGGGGTAATTGCCTCAAAATTTTAGGAATTAGGGGCCAAAAAAGGGGCAAAAAACAAGCATTTTTCTAGTTTCATGACAATAACTTGTGTGTAAGTGTTTGGATATTTCTGAAATTGTACTACAAGGTTCCATATCACAAAGGGAAAGCTGGAATTGAGTTTGGGGGTAATTGCCTGAAACGTTTAGGAATTGGGGGCCAAAAAGGGGCCAAAAATAAGCATTTTTCTAGTTTCCAGACAATAACTTGTGTTCAAGTGTATGGATCTCTCTGAAATTGTACTGCAAGGTACCATACCACAAAGGGAAGGCTGGGATTGAGTTTGGGGGTGATGAATCATAAGGGGGTTCAAAAAATTTGGGGGGGGGATTTTTTTTTTTCTTTTAAAATTTTCCATTTTAAGTTGGTTATTTCTGATTAATATTTAAAAGCAAATAATAATGATATGGTAGGAGATACACACCAAACAGGAAGTGTAAATTATTATATAATAAGTATTGTGCAATAGCAAGAAATTTTCAATTGCACAGTATTGCACAATTGCAAGAAATCTTCAATTGCACAGTATTGCGCAATAGCAAGAAATCTTCAATTGCACAGTATTGCGCAATAGCAAGAAATATCCAATAGCACAATATTGCGCAATAGCAAGAAATTGTCAATTGTACAGTATTGCACAATAGTAAGAAATATTCAATTGCACAGTATTGTGCAAAAGAAGATACTTCGTATAAATTGCTTATTTCTTGATCAATTTCAATGGGGTTTTATTCTTGAATTCTTGGGGTTCTTTAATATGCTGAATCTAACCGTGTATTAAGTTTTTGGATTTTGGGCCCCGTTTTTAAATTGGTCCACATTGAGGTCCAAAGGGTCCAAAATTTAACTTTGTTTGATTTCATCAAAAATTGAATTATTGGGGTTCTTTGATATGCCGAATCTAACCGTGTATTTAGATTCTTAATTTTTGGTTCCGTTTTCAAATTGGTCTACATTAAGGTCAAAAGGGTCCAAAATTAAACTTAGTTTGATTTTAACAAAAATTGAATTTTTAGGGTTCTTTGATATGCTGAATCTAAACATGTATTTAGATTTTTGATTATGGGCCCAGTTTTCAAGTTGGTCCAAATCGGGGTCCAAAATTAAACTTTGTTTGATTTCAACAAAAATTGAATATATGGGGTTCTTTGATATGCTGAATCTAACCATGTATTTAGATTTTTGATTATGGGCCCAGTTTTCAAGTTGGTCCAAATCGGGGTCCAAAATTAAACTTTGTTTGATTTCAACAAAAATTGAATTCTTGGGGTTCTTTGATATGCTGAATCTAACCATGTATTTAGATTTTTTATTTGTGGACCCCGTTATCTAATTGGTTCATATTGAGGTCAAAAGGGTCCAAAATTAAACTTAGTTTGATTTTAACAAAAATTGAATTTTTAGGGTTCTTTGATATGCTGAATCTAAACATGTATTTAGATTTTTGATTATGGGCCCAGTTTTCAAGTTGGTCCAAATCGGGGTCCAAAATTAAACTTTGTTTGATTTCAACAAAAATTGAATTCTTGGGGTTCTTTGATATGCTGAATCTAACCATGTATTTAGATTTTTTATTTGTGGACCCGCTATCAAATTGGTTCATATTGAGGTCAAAAGGGTCCAAAATTAAACTTTGTTTGATTTCATCAAAAATTGAATTATTGGGGTTCTTTGATATGCCAAATCTAACCGTGTATTTAGATTTTTAATTTTGGGTCCCGTTTTTAAATTGGTCTACATTAAGGTCCAAAGGGTCCAAAATTAAACTTAGTTTGATTTTAACAAAAATTGAATTCTTGGGGTTCTTTGATATGCTGAATCTAAACATGTTTTTAGATTTTTGATTATGGGACCAGTTTTCAAGTTGGTCCAAGTTGGGGTCCAAAATTAAACTTTGTTTGATTTCAACAAAAATTGAATATATGGGGTTCTTTGATATGCTGAATCTAAACATGTATTTAGATTTTAGATTTTTGGCCCAGTTTACAAGTTGGTCCAAATTGGGGTCCAAAATTAAACTTTGTTTGATTTCAAC